CTCTGCACCTGCTTTCTTTCCGAGAAGGCACAGGGGTTCTGAGTTGCTGTGCCACAACGAACTTCATTTCTTTGAGATTGCTGTTGCTTTCGGGCATTACTGTAAGAGCCTTGCCCACCTGTCTATCCAGCAGTGGTTCTCAACCTGTGGGTCATGACCCCTTTGGAGGCTCAAATAACTCTTTCACCTAAAGATGATCACCTAAGACCATCCTGCATATCAGATATTTACATTATGATTCATAACAGTAGCAAAATTACAGTTTTAAAGTAGCAATGAAATAATTTTATGCTTGGGGGTCACCACAACATGAGGATTGTAGCATTAGGAAGGTTGAGAACCACTGTATGGTCAAATTGCTCCACTAGATGGAGCCCTTCTACTATGAAGTGCTAAGTAGTCATCTGTTAAGTAAAAACTCAACAAGCCTCCCTCTCTATCCATAAAAGATTGGTTCTAAGACCTTCTTTCCACTGTACAAAGTTAATAGCTGTTCACCCTCTCATATGCCATTCACAGCATTTACATAGTAGCTACTTATATCTGCCTTGAAGTAGTCATTACTAGAACATTTAAAATACTTAGTGTATAATGCTATGTAAACAGATACTATGTCCATGTTGCTTTGGGAGTGCTGACAAAAAAAGATCTGTATGTGTTCAGGACAGATGCATTTTTTCCGTGAACACTTCAGTGTGATTGTTGAATATGTGTTTGATGAGGAGCCTATAGATATGGAAGCTGACTAGAACTATAGAACTATAATTACCAAGATAACCCCAGGAGAGTTAGCAACACAAAATGTTAGTGAAGTGAGAGGGCTATCTTATGGTAAAGACACACTTAGATGTTTAACAAGCAGCCTATGCATTTTAATAACTTTGTACATTTTAAAGTTGAAATCAACTTCTCATAGGCTTCAGCAGAGACTTCCAGGTTCCCTTTGTCAACCAGTTCAAGCACCCATGGATAGCATCCTTAATTTTCACTGAATGCTATATACTGTGGATTGTACATCACCCTCAGGGTCATATGGGCCCTCATTCAAACTTTTGGGCCACCATTTGTAATGCCCCATAGTTATGCATTTCAGAAGTCCATGTTCCCTGTCTAAAATGAAGGTCATAATTCTGCACTTACCACACTGGCTGTGAATATAAACAATAACGTTTTTGAAATATCTGGCAGGTGCTTTCTACCTCAATAATAATTGTTGTTGTGATTGTAATTGAAATTATAAATTATAATCTTATGAGATATTCAAGCTTCTAATGGATATATTTTTAAATGTGAAACACATCAAGCTCCTCTGATGCCCTTTTGTACTGTTGGATGGAACTGAATTACACATGAGGGCCTTTTCCTGGCCTCATACATACCTGTTCCTTCTAAGGAGTTCACAGATACCCCTGTTATAGACATTGAAGGATGATAGAATGAGTAGAGGCAGGCGATGTCTAACCATCATTTTAGTGGATAGCCTTGAGCCAAACAAAAGCCTCACCTCAAAGAACCACATGGGCTCTGGCTGCCACTGAGCAGATGGTGGTAATCAGTAAAGTATGCACACAGATCATTCAAGTGGCTTTTCAGAGACTGAAGAAGGGAAAGGATAATCAGCCATTCTGGTGCAAGACTCAGCAAGGCAGAAACCTGCCAGCAGGACTTTTCAGGGCTGTGGTCAGGATGGAAGCATGCTTGGAGAGGGCAAGTAAGAGGTGGGCAGAGAAGGATGCCAGGTGTCTGAGGATAAGCATCGGGAAAATGGTAGTTTAGTTTCTCAATTCTGCTTGTATTTATAAAAGGAGACAGGAAAGTTGTAGACTTAGAGTTCAAGGAGCCTGGGGGACAGGTGAGACTATTGGAAATGGATGCTGGGAGAAGAGAGCATAGAATTCTCTGCAGTAGAGACACTTCCAGACATCAGTGTCTCTGCATAGGTGAAGGAGAAGGTGCCTGGCAGCAGAACTTACAGAGTGAGGAAAAGAAAGAGCAACAGTGGCCTTGAGGAAATGGTTTCACTTATGAACCAGGCAAAGAACATTGAAGAATGGTCAGGAGAAAGCCTGGCCTGTAGTCGTTGAAGCTGTGAAGAATGGCAAGGTGGCTAGGACACCATGAGGTTTCTGATGGGGGTAGAATTGCCCTCTGCTTGCTCTGTAAATAATAGGATGGCAGGTAACCAGAACAGGAAACTGGAGGTTGTAGGGTGCCAGGGAAGCTATCAAATCAATAAAAACGGAAATGACATTGTCTTGGACTCTTCTCCTAGAAGAGATGGTAGATGGAGTCAGAAAATTGCAAGTCTTTCGAACATGAGAGGGAACTTGCCTGGTGACTTCCTTCCTGGTCATTGGTTAATGGAGCTTTAGTGTCGACTGCACTGTTTCTAGATCAGACCTCACAAAAAGCCCCCAATTCTGGCTGCTCTTAGGACACCAGAGCTTCCAGCTGCATGGAGCATGTGGTGCTGGGTGGAGGTTTGCTGTTGTTGTTTTTAAGGGGTGACATAAATACCTTTCTGGGTTGCAAAGCCTCCATCTGTGTCCTTTACCACGCAGACAATGAGGTGACACTTGATGACTGTTCATGGGTAACCTCAGCTGCTATTCCAACATCACACCTACTCAATGTGTTTACCATGTCTTTTGGGTCTGAGTTAACCTGAAAATTAAAGTGGGGGGGGGGGAGTGGGACAAAAGCAGCCTGTTCAGCAGCTTTCTAACAAATTGCAGCATATTTAAAGCGAGTCTATGCTATTCATTAGGAGTTGTATTGTCTCTTTGAGGTGTGTAAGAAACACAAGAAGGGTTTCTAATGGGTCAGTGAACCACAGGGTCTGGTCTGGTTACAATAGGACCACACACAGTTTGTGAAGAACGCACTCATGTAGACCTGTTTGCGTACATCTTTATATTACGTTCTAATTAACATTAACTAAGAGCAGTTTTAACTGTATTTGAATTGAACGTTGTTTTTATAAACTATCTTGATCTTTCAGCCAAGCCAAAGCCATGTACTCCTGCAAAGCAGAGCATAGCCATGAACTGTCCTTCCCCCAGGGGGCGATCTTTTCCAATGGTGAGTACACCTATCATTTATTGAAGTGACTTGGGAGCACTGAGTTAGGACAGCATCAGATTCCAAACCCCGATTCTTAGGTCTTCCTGAATGAACACAACACACCTTTCTATATCTCAGCCTTCCTTGTGGGAGCATTTACTCACTTGTATCCGAAGAGAAAGAAACAAGGCAGACATGGTAGTGCACTCCTGATGTTGGGGTAGGGGGATTGCTAGCTAGAGTACAGCCAGAGCTACATAATGAGTCTTACAAGGCTAGTCTGGCAAGTACACCTTGTTTACAAAAATAATAGAGGAGGGGGTGGCGTTTTAGACAAATATAGTTCATCTAATTGATTGTGTGAGTACAAAGAACCTTCCAACATTAGAGGGGCTGTATCTCAATAACCCAAGTGAGTAGATTCTTAGGTGATCATTAGTTTACAGGAATTATTTGAAGATAGTGTCACCTGAGTAACATTTATTTGTTTCTTCCCTTGACCAGTACACCCATCAGTGGAGCCAGGGTGGCTGAAGGCGACTTATGAAGGCAGAACAGGACTAGTCCCTGAAAACTATGTTGTCTTCCTCTAATAGAATTAGTGGATGGCAGTATCTTCATGGTATCCATGGTAACACATAATAAGTGCTATGATTTTATCTGACACAGATATGGGGACCAGCCACTAAATGAAAACCATCTGTTTGTCTCAAGTTCTTCACCAGCATACTATGTAGCTCCCACTGATGGAAAGAGAACCACAAATATTTACATCACAGCCATTCCTTTTGGCTGTTTTCTTACTTTTAAAATAATTTTGCTTTTTTATTTTTTGATAAGAAGTGATTTTTGACAGTCTGTTCTGTAGAGCTGCAGAATCCCAGATACTGAGCTCAGTTCTGCACACCGCAGGTTTGGAAGTCAGAAACCTGCGGTACCCATGCTGACGTCTGTTGTTCTGCATTGCCTGATAGTTTCTGGAGAACCTTGAAATCATTACTTTAAAAGTGTAATTTAAATTGTTCACTTATTATTTTTGTTTCTTAAAAATATACTGTTTTTATGTGTGGTTGTTTTGTTGGTCCTAAACATTTCAAGAAAATCAGTTGTTGTTTTATCATAACTTTATTTTTATTTGTTTCCTAAGATGTTAGTATTTGAAAGCAATAATGTTTATGAAGTCTATAAAGAAAGCTGAGTTAAGTCAAACACTGATTCCACCATAAGCAATCCACCCAGAATGCTAGATGGCTTCTGTGGGTTCTGAGCAAAAATCTACCAAGTGTGTCTGTAAAGCCTGGGACGAAATAGTTTTGTGGCAGGCTAGATTTGACTTGTGAACCACAGATGAACAACTCCTCCTTTAGAAGTCATGGAGACCTGTCTTGGGACTTTTACAAAATTTCCCATTAAAACACACAGGCTAATAAATCCCATGTGCGCATCTTCTGCTCCCTAAGCAGCATTGTGACAGTGCAGGGAGAACCATGGGCAGCTGACTGTGAAGGTCAAGTGTGGCGTACAACCTGCACTGCCAAGTGTGGCGTACAACCTGCATTGCCAAGTGTGGCGTACAAGCTGCATTGCCAAGTGTGGCGTACAAGCTGCATTGCCAAGTGTGGCGTACAACCTGCATTGCCAAGTGTGGCGTACATCCGTCACCTGCAATGCTGCAGTCTTCAGGTATTTTAATGATGGGAAGCTTTGGTCTCTGAGATGGTCTTATACAAATAATAAGGACGTTGTTTGAAAATTCAAATTGGGCCGGGCGGTGGTGGCGCACGCCTTTAATCCCAGCACTCGGGAGGCAGAGCCAGGCGGATCTCTGTGAGTTCGAGGCCAGCCTGGACTACCAAGTGAGTTCCAGGAAAGGCGCAAAGCTACACAGAGAAACCCTGTCTCGAAAAACCAAAAAAAAAAAAAAAAAAAAAAAAAAAGAAAATTCAAATTGGGAAGCTGTGCCTTCTAAACCTTGTTTAATTGAAACAGAAAACAAATACCAAAGTACTAGATTCTTAGGCCACAGAGTTTGAATATTTTAAGATTTATTTATTTATATGATATTTTGTTCACAGGTATGTATGTAGTACATATGTCTTTTACCCATGAAGATCAGAAAAGGGAGTCAGAGAGCTTTGAAGTGGAGTTACAAATGGTTCTGAGTTACTCCGTAGGTGCTGGGACTTGAATGCTGGTCCTCTGGAAGAGCAGCAGTGCTCTTAACCACTGAGCCATCTCTCCAGCCCCAAGCCACACAGTTTGAAAGCATGGTCATGAAAGCTTCATTAGCAGGAATGAAATATACAAAGGTTTTCTTTCTCTGAATTACAGAACTCATAGAACAAAGAGGTATTTACTCTTCAGTTATAGGTCATCAACAAAAGGTTACATATCAGCCATTTCTTCTATCATAATCTATTTCAACAATTCCAACATACAATTCCTATGAGTGTCTACAATAGCAAAAAGCCTTTATTCTCCATAGTCTAAAAAGTTGTCTCCCCAGACCCACTGCACTTGGCCTTGGTATCTAACAGATTCCTTCAGAGTTTTCGCTAATTCCTAGACACTCTGGTGTTTAGAGGTGTGTGAAGCTATGTTTACATGTCACAGCCTATAATCTCAATTCATTCTACATTGCATCAGTATTTCTAGAGATAATAGGCTGAACATATACACAGCACTGTGCCTCGGGGCATTTATGCTGTTAAATGAAATAAAATAATGAATTAGAATTAACCAGTAACAGTAGACAGACAGATCCATCCAGAAATAGCATCAGTGAACTAAAGGCAATCAATGGAAAACAGCTCATAAAGATTATGGTGTGATGTGAAACTCTGATGGAAGTTTGGCTCTTCCGCTTTCCTCCCAGCATTAGTCCCTGTGCACTGTAGTGAGGTATGGTGAATTCCTTGGTAGGTGGGTGCCTGGTGGCTTAATACACCAGTGTCATTGCTGTCACTGATGACCTTTCCTGGGACAGAAGGTAGCCTTCATAACATCCTAGCGGCCTGGTCTACAGGGCCCTTGGATGAAGCCCCCTGCCATCACCCCTTGCATCATGCTAGATCAGGATCCATGAAGGGAAGCTGATTTGCTTTCAAAGACCAACTTGACAGCAAAGATCCAGTGTCTTCCTCTGCTGCTGCTGTGCAAAGAAATCTCAATTTCATTTTATTTTAAGAGACCAGAACATTCCCACCTCCCAGTTGCCTGTAAGCTAAACCCATGATGCTCACTGAGGGCTTAGAGCTTTTTCTATGTAGGATGTGGGTATGAAATTCAGCTCTCGTTTCTGATGGTGAGATTTACTCTGTGTCATTATTTGTTGAGGTTCCTTCCCTGAAACAAGACACAAACATGCTGGTTCATGTTGCACTTGTGCTTGAAGTTTTAATCTTTTAGATTTTTTTTTCTGTTAATTACCTGTGTAAGGAAATCGTGACAATATATTGGAGAGAGGTTAGAGCTGCTTTCCCCATGAAGTAAGTATCCTACAAATGAATCATTCAGGAGCACTGCAAAGACCAAGACGTATGCTCTGAAGCCACAGAAGGTTGCTGTGTGAGAGAGCATTGCCAGTCAAGGAAGAGTCATGCTCAAAACTGGGATGCCATTGGAAGCAGTGAAGAGCGTTACCTGTTCAGAGACAGTGGAACATGTTAGAACCGTCATATCCTCACTCTGAACCCTACATGAAACAACATGCACCCAAATAACTGCTTACAGTATGAGGGTGGCGTTGAGGGTCTGATGTAATCACTGTGGGTGTTTTGTGCATTTGAAACACTGATGTATTTAACAGGTGACTCTTGGGCTATGCCATCATTCCACTAAGTTTGGTTCACACACATTAGTCATTCAACTGAACGATTTCCTAATGTATTGTGTGTCAGATTTGAAAAGTAAAATAATCTTTCTATTTCTGCAGTGTCCGTGCAGTGTGAAGAAGCGTAAGCTCTGTGTGTGTTGGTTTGCTTTGCTTTGCTACAGGCATGAATGAAATATTCACCAGTAGCCCCTTTGCTGACTGACTCTTCCAGGGAGAGTGGATTAAAGAAAGGACATATAAATATACTTTATATTTCTCATAATCCCCAACTACCCAGGCCCCAAATAGTGAAGATAAAAATACATGAAACCTCCTCCATTTTCTCTTCAGTAGTTAACCTCACATGTTATGACTGCCTACTGAACACCTGCTATGTCGGGAATAAACGAAATCTCTCTATGCTTCTGTGACTATTCCCTGCTGCTGACCTTGTTCCCAACCACAGGCCTCACATATTTGTGTTGCACAGAGGCTAAGTTAGAAAAGCCATCAGACATCAACTCAGAGAACTTTAATCTGTAGTGCAGTCTGAGCACACTTTATTCTTGGGACCCAAGCCTTTTAGATTTTGAATTATTACATATAAATGAGACATCTTGTATTCTTGGAGATATTCTAAAATATACAGTGATTATGGGGATGGGACCCAGGTCAAATCAGGAGACTTATTTCTGTTTCATATATTTTCTATACATAGTCTTAAAGTCATTTCAAGTAATATTTTTAATTCATGTACTGAAATGTTCAGTTGTAGCATCATGCAAGTGTTCAAATACAGTAGGTTTGGGGTTTTTTTGATCAGAGCTCCTCCTTTAATTCACAGCCCATTAGTCACTTGTTGCTCTTACCATGACCTCATGTCACCGGGTAAGACATGGAAATCATCTCTCAGTAAAAACAACAACAGGCTTGACTCCTGTCCAAAAATTACATTCCTGGTGACCATAGATGTTCCCCTAAGGGTTGAAATTTCACTTCTGCTTTTCAAAATCAAAACATTGTTTTAAAAATGAGATTAGCCTACTTGAGCAGTCTACTCCAGCCAGCCGCTCTCTTTGATTCAGAGTTAATAACAGGTACTTATCAACTTCCTGAACACATTTAATGTGTTCATCCATTGTTATCATTACCTTCGTACTTCAAGTGGCAATACCTTTGGGAGAAGAGATTTATGAATGACGGAGAAGATCAAGTCATTGAGTGATACTTAAAAAATGAATGGTAAGACAGCCACACCCATCTTTTTATGAAACAAGTAGGAATGTTGACAGTACTTACTAGAAGACGCTTGGCAAGGAACTAACCTATATTTGTTCCATCAGTGTTTGTAAACTTCCCTATAGACTAGGGGCCCAGCAGAGGATGACTTCATTCCTCATGACATGACATGACTCATGACAGATAGGCCACGGTTTAAGGTGGGTATTTCTTGGGGTTATAGGGAGAGGTTGAATCTTGGTGCTTACTGGACTGACAGTCATGGAATCATTTTCCATGATTTGTGATGTTCATGTGGAGGTCTACTTGAGGAAGTGAAGTGTGGGAGGGAGTTGGAGCTGAAGGTCCCTGGACAACCTCAGTTAGATGGTGGTGTTCTTGCCTTCACACCATTGGCCATCTCTCACCAGTACTTCCCATAGTTTGCTCTTCCATGGTTGACATGGAAGCCATGCCTGAATCCACTTACCTCTGATGAAGACTGCATTGCTCTCTGTGCTATAGCATGATGGAGTTTCTGTGTGCCCCAGTATGTCCTCTTCCACCTACATTTTAAGGAAAATAACTTGTTCTCTGAAGGGTCTGAGAGCACTGCCTGTTCATGCTCTATGCCTAAACTCCACAGTTCCAGCACACACTGCAAGGATGGAGGAGTTTCAAGAGTCCTTGAACTCTAAGATGAAACCTTTATGAGTAGTCTGACAGAGAAGACACCCGAGTCTTTCATTTTTAATCTATTTATGTACTGTTCAAGTCTATTTAAAAGTCAAATACTTAGGTACCAAACCAGGAGTTTCTTTGCAGCCATTAACATGAAGAATTAAGTAATAAATGTTGTAAAAACTAGTCAATAAATTATCATGCTGAATTTTTTGCTTATTTTGTAGTGTTTCTGTATTTATCTGCACTCAGTATTTCTAGACATGCATACATATGTGGACATGTAAATACCTTCATGTTATTCCTAATCCAACTTGCCACAATAGCTTTGCTGCATGTTTATACTGTGTCTCAAATGACTTTAAAAATAAACTTTATAAGCACATTTTAACTTAGTCTTTGCACTTGAAGACCCACTCCATTGAAGAGTAGCTTTCTTGACTCCATGTTGAGGAAAACCAAGGTTTCCAGTCAGTTCTGTCAACTATCACTTTTTATTTAGTTAAGTGGCAAATCGTAGGAGTGCCTGGTGACCTTCTCTTGATAAGCTAGAACAAGAGATTAGGAAAATATTTCTCATGGTCTTAATAATGCATATATCTCAGGAGAGAGCAGAAATGGGCCATAGAAGAAATGTTAACTATAACAGCTTGTACCTGAAAGTTTGTTTAAGATACTGTGTGTTCACAAGCACTCACCAGGGCACTATGGAGGAAGTATCATTGTGTAAGCATCCTTTGGGGCTGGAGAGATGGCTTGAGTTTTAGAGTACATAATGATCTTCCAAGGAACTAAGTTCAGGTCCCAACATCCATGTCTTGTAGAGGAGCAGCAAAGCATTAGACAAATGACCATCTTAGACCTTCCAGTTCAGCCCAGGATCAGCTGAATTGAACTCAGCTGAATGAGGGGCCCCAGACAACTCACTTGTATATCTATCTTCTCAACCAAGCCATCCCAAGTTCCTGGCAAAGTCACAAAATGTAATTATTGTTGTAAGCCACCAAAATTTAGTGTGGTTTGTTATGGAGCAATAAAAATTGAAAGTTGTCATTGTGAGGCCAGAGCCTTAGAATTCCTTAAGCTCAGGCTGGGGAGATAGTTTGATGGGGAGATGGCTGTGCAAACATGAGACCCTCAGTTGAAATACCCAGGATGCATGTAAAACTGGGTGTAGTAGTCCCAGTACTCTTGTGAGATGGGAGGAAAAGAGAGAAGAATCACTGGAAGTGCATGGGCTAGCTAGCCTGGTGGTGTAATGGTGAACACTAAAGAGAATTTGCCTCAAACAAGACTGAAGCCAAGGACCTGAGGACCAGAGTTGTGTACCACATGCATACCTGCACTCACACACCCAAATCTTGGATGTGTAAATAACACACACACACACACACACACACACACACACACATCGTACATACACAGATACACAGAAACACATATATACATCATGCACATACAAAAAGATCATTTAAGATAAATTCCTTAATTTCTTCTGCTCTCTGGCTGCATATAGTAGTGACTGATGCTTGTCTTCTCACATTCTCATTGTTTTCTTTTTCTCTCCAAGTTCTTAGTAGAAGATACAAAAGCTGAAAATAAAGTTTATATTTCCTAGCCTCTTTTGGTACCTGACCATGTTGGTGGGGAAAAATGCATGCAACATCCTTGTTAAAGACAGGAGACCTCATTCTCCATCTTGCTGCTGAGACAAGGAACAATTTTGTGTCACAAAAGTTAGTACAGTTCAGATTGGGGAAACAACAAACTAGGACTGTGCATCTTTGCATGATTCCACAGAGGAGAATGGCTGTATAACCTTTTGACATTGTGACATGATACCATCATTTACGGAGTTTGTGCTTGAGACCCTCACAATGGAGTTGCAAAAAAGAAACACCACCCCCAAATGTCATAATATTTATATTTTGTGTCCTTGGGCACATGTGGTCTATTGGCTTCTTACATGAAAGAGAAAGATGTATGCTAAATGTATTTTGCTTAGAATCTGTTCTCTATTATATGTATTTGAATTGTTATGTCAACTATTACGTTAGGGTTTCTACGGTCTCATCATCAGGCATCAGTAATGAATAAGGGAAGTTGCACATGTGTCATCCCATAGGCTGCTCTGATGGGTAACTGCCGTGAGTGAAACTTGGAAAGAGATATGACCAGCTGCTTAGCTTGAGTAGTTAATCATGAGCAAGTATGGTCCCACAGGTGATGAGCTGTGTAGTGCTGCAGGGTGTTTATGTGGCTGGATTGAGGAATAAATCTGTGTCTTGTGTCCTTCTTGACTGGGCATAGTCTTCTTGACTGCAAACCCTTTCCTGTGGTTCTATTGAAGAATTTCATGCCTGTATTACATATAACCATTACCTATTTTGAGTTCACCAGGCTATGAGTGCCATATAACCACATTTGATGAGTTTAGGAAGGAATGCTATATGAGTTAATTACTCACTATCTGCTTCCTCTAATTAATCCTAGAACTTCTATAGGTCTGTTTGAAAGCCACATCTCTTGCCTTCCTTACAATGTGGGGTTGTTGGATACTGTTTCCACCAATGGAATCCAAGCAAAAATTCTAAATGGCACATCTCCAGGGAAAATTCGGGTTCCTTGTAGTAGAGGCTACCCTTCTTCCTCTTGTGGTCCTCCTGCTCATCCTGCCTAGAAAACAGATGAGAGACTAAAGATGGAACACCCAATTTGTGGCCCTAAAATTAATGCAAGAAAGGTCATACACAGAACCCAGGCTAATTACAAATTGCTTATTTTATGAGGAAAGACAAAATAATTCAGGTAAATACTGCAGCAGTGTTTATATTCAGCTTGAAAAATACCTTGCTTCCCTATTAATCTATTAAATCATTCCACACAATCAGAAAAAAGCACTATGTGTAACACAATTTCTGAGAACCACTTCGTTTCACCCATTTTAGGAAGAGCTAGAATTCTGTTACAGGAGAGTCTGTGTTTGTGAGTTATGACTCATCTGTATAATGCATTTTAGGCCTTCACTCAGCTTGTGAAACCATCAACATCGTGTCACAATTGTGTTTTGTTTATAGTAAGGACCTTTATGTGTAATGAATGAGACCATAAGTCTTCCATTTATTTATTTATTTATTTATTTATTTATTTATTTATTTATTTATTTATTTGGTTTTTCGAGACAGAGCTTCCCTGTGTAGCTTTGGAGCCTGTCCTGAATCTCGTTCTGTAGACCAGGCTGGCCTCGAACTCACAGAGATCCACCAGGCTCTGCCTCCCAAGTGCTGGGATTAAAGGCGTGAGCCACTGCTGCCTGGGTATAAGTCTTTTTAAAGTGTTACTCATTGAATCGAATGCCCATGGCATCACTATTGCCCTAGATAAAGTATGATCTACGTGGTAAATGACCTCTCAGTGCCTAGTTTTAGACACCCACTTTCAGGAGGGCATCTCTATTTCAGGTGGGCAAGGTAGCCTTGTGGACAGTAAGGCAAAGGAAGATGTTGGGGCTAGGAAAGCTGGATTTGGGGGGCAGTGGAAATGAGGGAGAAAGAGGGGGGCATTTAGGGGCAGCCTCGTGTCAGATGAGGAGCGTTTCAGCAGAACCTTCCACAGCACACAACCATTTAGGACCAGCATGCTGTGAAATGTTGAAAACTGTTCCAGAGGAGGAGTCTTCCCTCCGAGCTCCCATGGGCACTGCTGCGAATTCCCATGCTGGCCCTCAGAGTGAGACCAGCCCAGTGTGTGTGTGTGGGGGGGGGGGGGGGATGGGGGGAGGCTTTCTTAGCTGCGTAAGAGGATTTGGCTCAAAACTGCATTTCACAGTATGAATTAAAAAGACCCGTGTTTCCAGGAGCATGGGGAACCTCAGATGAGACTCTCACGTTCCTGCTGGGTGTGCCAGCCGTGAGGGAGAAGGAGAGTTTCAAACACTTGCTTTCAAAACCCCCATGTCCTGGTGGAGGAAGGCGACACTTGTTTAAAACCTTGTTGTGCTGCTAGTAAATTTCAGCACATAACAAAAATGGTTCTGTTTTCACAGTAAGCCGCCTTACTGGTAGCTAGTGTCTCAACAGGTCAGAGCACAATATTCTCATTTCCAAACTGTCTGACTCTGAGAGGGAAGAAGCAAGTCTAATCCAGAAAGAAAATGTAGATCTGGTTGTGGGGAAATGGGCCAGGAGGCAGATTGGGGCCATATCTCTCTTCTTAAGCCCATGCATGTTCCCTTTGATAGGCATAAAGTCTGCCAGTGCCTCATTTTCCACCTGGAGAGGGCAGGGGTAACAGATGCCTGCTTTTCCTCAGGACTGCTTTCCTGCATGAGTTAATGCATGTGGGATGGTCAGCACAGGAGCAGGAAGCTTGCCAGATGTTGGAAGTCAAGCTGGCCTTGATGAGTGGCATACCATGTGATCCAGCACGAAGGAGGGAGGCAGAGGGCATAGGATCAACTGCCACATGTTCACAGGTTTGAGGCCAGCCTGGGCTACACAGTGGGACTGTCTCCAGAAAAATGTTGGGGATCAATAAAAAGATAAGGAGTTATTAATAGTTCAGCTATAGTTGGAAAAAAAAGAGAGAAAGAAAGCATGCTAAGTTAAAAACTTATTCTCACAGTATGGGATTCCCTTGATGTTATTTAAAAACTACTATTTCTGGCACATTAGTTATCTAAGACTTGACTTTCATCATTAATTTTATTGTTCTTGTTTCTCTTTATCTTAAATTTAGGGATTTGGGCTAGTTTCATATATCTTCTTTGTAGTTGCTTGGTCACATGGGAATTATCACATGTTAAAGTTGTGTTTTATGGAGCAGATGTAACAAACACTAGACTTAGGGTCCTTCAGAAACACCTCCTTCTGCCCTGAAGCTGGCTTGGCTGCACAAAAGGGAGATGGAAGGAGGCAGGAGTGTGTAGATATCAATACACACTGAACTTATGGAACTTCCAAAGAGTAAAAACATACTGCTAATAAAAATGTGGCAGAGGAGAGGGTAGTGAGGAGATTAATCAAAACTAAGGCTTCATGAAAAGCCTTAAGGAAAGCCAATGGACTTGAAAAAAAGGAAACTATCTTGCATTTGTGGCAGTGTCCTTCCTAGAAGTCATGAGTTATGAAATTAAAATCACAGTGTAAGGCATGGGATGCCTCCTTTATGAGTTATTGGTCATGGTGACCTCATAGGTCTCCAAAACAACTCAGGATATTGCCACTGCCCTTGGTGAACAACTATGGCTCCTTGGTAAAACTCTATTGGTAAAGACACTTCACACTTTGGCTGAAGGACATAGAGAAATCAATCTCAAACTGACTGAGAAACTTCTGCCTGGCTAGCTTATACAGTGTTGGAAGGTGCTAGCCAGGGTACTCAAGCAGAAAAGCCATGGTGGGCTCTTATCCAGTGCTGGACCCTGCATGATGCAACACTACCCTAGCAAGCAAGACATGCCCACTGGTGCAGGAGTGGGGTGAGTGTTAGGGGGTAACTAACCATTGTCTGATTAGATCTGAGGCCTCCACTGTATGGAATGCCATGCCTGGTACGGTATTTCTGGTCAAAAAGCCCAAAGCTGAGGTTATAGGCCCCAGGATAGAACCTGCTACTGTTATTTTGCTAAATGATCATACTGTCAAACTGCCTTCTAAATATTTAGAGCTTATACGTAAAAATACCGATCCATGATTAGAAGCTTAGAACCTTTAACCCCATCTCCTGTCCTGCTGGTAGTGGGAAGATGAGAGCTGAAGAATAAGTTAGTTGATTGTGTCTCCCTGATAAGGTTTTCACGAAACTCCCTAAAGGATGTTATTCTGAGAGTTTCTGGCTAGTGAACACATCCACTTGTTGAGAGGATAACGCAACCCAAGCCAATGGGGAGGCGTCACTCCTGAACTTGGGATACTTTTGAGCCTCGCCCAAATGTGCATCATTAACCTAGCCTTTCATCTTGATGCTTTATTTTATGTCAGTTTGGCAAACATAGATGTTTCCCTGTGTTCTGTGAGCTTTAGAGCAAATTAACTCTGCCTGAAGGGAGGGTCTTGGGATCTTCTGATTTGTAGGAAAGTTGTCCAAAGTTCTGAGTAACCTGGAGCCTCACTGTGCACAGCTGGCCACTGAGGAGACAGCAGTCTTCTGTGAAGGAACTGTAACTTGTAAGGTCTGAACAGCTGCATGTAGGTAGTGTTAGAACTGACTTGGATTACAGGACAGCTTATTTATATCTACAGTGAACAGGAAAGCTGACTGTGGAAGAAAATCTTCCACATTTTTGTTAGACGCAAAGTGACGAGCCTAGCTCTACTGGAGAAGCGCCTTGCTCGTCCCTCATAACCTGTAAGTCAGTGCCTGTCCCCAGCTCATCCTTCTTCCACTCTGCCCTGACATGAGGGACAGACACTTCGGAATCTGAGGATCTCTGCGATGTGGGCAATAGAGATGATTCTCATTGTTGATCTCTCTAAAACGTTTATGGGGACAGTGGAAAACAATGTCATCCAGACATTAATGAGATAGGATTTTCTTTTTCTGCTTCAAAACATGTCTGCAGATCACAGACTGCATGGACCACTGGATATTTGGGTCTTGTGCCACTCTCACGTCCTGTAGTTCTCTGATCATCTGACATTTGAAGTCTGCCTGAACAGTGTACCTAGAGGTTAAGGAACCACACAAAGGAACAGAGTATTTATGAACAAGGTATTTCAAGCACAACACAGATTTGGGTAAGAAATGTCCATTTGGATACAAGGCTGCAGCTTCAGAATGTGGTGAAATGGTGAATTTGGCATTCAGAAATAAATAGTCTGTAGAAGAGATATCAGAGGAAACAAACCAGTGTTTGTAATTATGATGATTGAAATTTATTACATGACTATTTCCTCATATTTTTCTCATGCCATTCAAAAGTTCATCTAGAACAACACTAATTTAAAGACTAAATTAAAACATAAGACTTCAAATTAATATAGAAGACTTTATTCATTTGAAATACGTATTTTGATTTTTCTTTTAGATAGGGTGTTATGTAGCCCAGGCTACCTTGAGCTCCCTAGGTAGTTGAGGCTGGCTTTACTCCTGATTCTCCTGCCTCTATCTCCCAAGTGCTTGGATCATAGGTGTGCATATTTTGAAATAACTACTTTATTACATTTGGCAGGCACACTGTTAAATGTTCAGTTGAAATTATTTCACAATTATTTTTAATCAGTAAAGCTTCTGCATTTCTGTTTGAGTTTGTCCTTGAAGCATAGTGTAAAGTCATTTACCTATTATTTCAAGCAATTAAAGAGATGGAAATTTCTAAATATAGGTGGGAAGAATTAAAGTGCAGATTAATATTTTGAATTATAATGCCAAAATCAGTTTTAAGAATATGTAATAGAAAATGTTACTTGCTTTTCAGAACTAAGTTTTTATTAATGACGATGGATAGAGAAAATAGAAAGATAAAAGGCAAAATTTTCCCCAGATTAAACAAAGGTTTTATCTAAAAAAAATAGTTCAAATTTACAGAAAACAAAATTAAGAAAAAATTGAAGACTATGAAAACTGCATTGTGTTGGAAAGCATCACAAATCAAAGTATCAATATCTTAAGTGTTTTATGTTTCATAATGATAGTATCCAATTTTATAACATAGTGAAGAAAATTATTATAAAATTGTTTGAAGGAGTTATTGTTCAATATCATAAACTACTTTAAATTGTTGGTATATGTATAGGGAATTAGGAATTAATTAAATGTTTCTAGAATTTTCCAATAAGTAGAATTATTCAAGTTCTAATTACACAAGTTTAAACAGGAATTTACAGCACAAAATTAAATAAAATTATTAAAATTTACATTAAGTTATTATTGTGTAGATAATAATTTACACAATTATTTCAACAAAAGCATCAGGCATAAAGAATTTGATATGAAGTAAAATTAGTCCAGTGGTTAGCAAAAACAAAATATTTTGGAATATATATCGTACTACCCCATTTTTCATATAGACAATATCATGCTGCACAATATTTCAAATAGAAAAAATAAAAACGAAGATCAGAGAAATTCAAGATTTCTGCTGGCAACTGACTCATACCAATAAAATAGGTCTTAGTGCAGAACTCTTAAGTTTCCAGACTCTTGGCTCCATATATGTTAGCCATGTGCTAACATTATCTACACTATTCTCTAGACTGACAGTGTTCAGGAGCTGCATGCCCTCACACATTCAAAGGTAAGCACTCACATTCAGAAGGATTCCAAAGTGAGCCCTTGTTCAGTAGAAATAACTCAGGATATGAACATAATGGAGAAATAATTCTCCCTGATACAGGCAACTGAAAGCAAACTTTTTTTTTCCAGGTAGGGTTTCTTTGTGTGTAGCTTTGTGCCTTTCCTGGAACTCACTCTGTAGCCCAGGCTGGCCTCGAACTCACAGAGATCCACCTGGCTCTGCCACCCGAGTGCTGGGATTAAAGGCATGTGCCACCACTGCCCAGTCCAAAGCAAACCTTTTAAAATGTATAAATGATGCTAAGTATAATAAGCCCCTGAATGAAAATCCACCATGAATTTCGCTGTAACTACATACAGCATAACTGGAACCATCAGACAAGAACCTAACGAATTCATCCCAGCTTAACCTTACCTTCCCAAGCTGGCTTCCTCCTTACAAACGTGTTGCTCAGAAAGAATTCTACTAACATACTGCTGCAAATTGCTTGTATATGAACATTAAGTATAATATAAAATTCATAAAATTTATCAAAAAAGGGGGAAACATCTTAAATAATAATGAATGTGATTCTCTATTTTGAAAGTGGGAGATAAAAGTTTCATGGGGGTGTGCATTTTCAGTTTTCTCCCTAAAAATGGCATCACATTTTCCAAAACATAGATCCTCACAGATCTGCTATTTCAGAACACAAATTCACAGAAACATCATCCTCTTAAACCACACAGGAGAGGAGAGGTTGAAGGCCCACAGGGGGCTCCCCATCCATCCTCCATCCTGCAATGCAAATGGCCTCTCTCATGCATTTGTTTGCCAAATCAGTAATCTAATATTTTTGAAGTCTGGATATTTCACATTTTCTAATAAACATCTGTATCCATAAGCTTTGGTGTTTGGGTTCTTAAAAATCATACATTTGGTGATCCAAGATTTATTAACTTCTGAAGATAATCTTTATGGTGTATGAAATTATGTGGTAACTTAATTTTTAACACTCATTTGGAAATTATTAGGGAAAAAAGTGTATGTTCATATGGGATGTTCTAGAGTGTGAAGGGGTTTTATCGGTGATTTCCCTTGTAAATACAGAGCTCCCTGCTGAAATATCACCACAGTGTGTTAAACGATAATAAGACTAGGAACTTAGGTCAGATTACTGAAATCCAGCAGTGACACACCTGTCTTCTAGAACTCTGAGCAGAATGCTGCTTTTGATTTACTGACCTGCATAGACTGCCGGCCTGATGACTCACAAGTACCTACATACTGGCACACTAATGTCCTTAGTTTTTATTTCTATGCCATATTCAGGCTCTTTAAAGGTCTTGTAGTTTTAAAGGAAATTCTTGACAATAATTTTTCTTCCCTAAATCAATACAACAAACACCTGCTTCAAAGTTTGGGTTGTGTCCAGGTTAAATGTTACCACTGATCTGTCTTACACAGAAACTGTTGTTACAGAACGGCAAGTGTGCAGAAAGATGGAAAAGATGAGCATTCACACTGCTCTTCACTGAGTACAAAGTACTTCAGTGTTAGCATTACTCCCTGATTTTGCCAGGTTGTAACCAGACAGGATCTCATCATGCAACCCTGATTAGCCTCAACCAGGCTGGCCTCAAAGTAACGCAGATCTACCTGCCTCTGCCTCCCAAGCACTGCAATTGAAGGCATTACAAAACCTGGTTTAGAAAGAAAAATTTTGCAGTCACACAGGATTTTGTCTTGACCAGTGGCATTTAAGATTATAAGAATTATAGAATGCAACCTGGTTTTAGAGTCCATAAGAACTAAAAACAATGATGAAAGTAAATAATTATTTTTTTGATGGGAAGAAATCAGAATACACAAAGCAAATAAAAAACTACACTACCTACATCACAATATGCCTTTGATCAATAGCCACGGTTAAACGATTGATTAACAGTTGTTAATGCTGGACTTATTTTTTCTCCTTTAAATGTATTTCATTCATATATGACTCACATTTATTAGAAAAAAATTTAATGTTCAGGGTGTTTATCATATCACACAAGAAATATACAAAAGAATACTTCTCACAGTAAAGATCTGAGTTTGTGATTCTCACAAGTAATTTTTGACATACAAATGATACTGAAATCCTTTAATGACAACAAAATAAACCTTTGGATTTATAATTTAATCTTAGCTATTTAACAAGCAGATAGTCTATTATTTTTATTAAGTACATTCAATAAACTCAAATTCCTTCCCTGTGTTCATATTTCCTTTAAAAACACTTATTTAATGTGTTGGGGGACTAGATGTGTAAATGTGAGCTATATCAGGTAGTCCTCCAATGTGCTCCATTTGGTGTTATTTCAAACATAGGAATCAAAAAGTATGGCCACTATTGGTTTTATTGGATTACGTCAGGTTTAACTAACAGTGAAATGGGATGATGGAGGCTGGGTGACCTAGGTGTCCTGTCACAGCACATTCATATGCAAATAACACAAGCCAGCATGAGAGGTTTTGCTTTCTGTGGTGTTCCTGTTTAAGCATTACAAATTGCAAACTACTCACACAGAATGGATTTCTGCACTTTACAAAATAATTCTCCTTAGGTCAGATCACTTTTAAGATGGGATTTGACCACTTCTGATCAGGTAAAATAACATCATGCTATGTAGATAAAACATTGTTTAAAAACGTAGACGATTTGATCTTGCACACCAGTAGCAGAGAGAAAGTGATGCATACACACAGGCTTAGGAAGTGACTCCAGAGAGAGGCATACTCTGGCAGCAGAGACTAAAGTCTTGCCTGCACGTTCACTGGGACTTACTGCAGTTTCTTTTTTAAAATCTGAGACAGAGTATCATTCTGATACTGGATAACCTAGAATTTATGCTGTAGTCTTAGCTGGCCTCAGATTTGCAGCAATCCTTCTGCCTCTGCTCACCAAGTGTTGGGATTACAAGCATGGGTCAGTAGCACACCAGCAGCACATTTTCCTTTTACATATTAAATAGTTAACTTAAAATAAAAATTACTTTATCCATAATTGTAATCAAGTATTTACAAAATAATTACAGCATATCACTTCATAGGTAAATAAGAAGTTTCTCAACATTATTAAAAATTTAACTGGTAATGTATTAATTAATTAATTAATAGGAAAACATAATGCTCAGCCAGGAATAAATGAAATAAATGTTTTATGCTGTAAGAACCGTTTTGTGATCAAATAACCAAATAGAACATTCTACTTTCTCCAACCTATTACTTGATGGAAACTAAACAAATACATTTATTACAGTTTGTAATATCTGACAGCCAATTAAGTAGAAATCCAGCAAGAAATCTACCCTTTCATCTTTTTGTCTTCACATCCCAGCATGGCTCACACACACTGCAGGTACTTAGTTTATTTATTGACTACCATTTATTTACAGCTAAATTATATTAATTTAATGAAACCAATACAGAATAATAGTCTTAACAATTAGATTATACCTTTCCCTTTAATGCTTAGTACACAATTTCTTATGAAAATTAAATTGGTAGAACAACAATCATATTTTGGCCACTGTAACCAATACATACACGCATATATATATATATGTATATATATATATATATATATTATTTTTTTGTCTCACTAGATACTTGATATGATCTGTTTTGTGTTATCTTTATGATCAAAACAACTAGTTGGCTTCAATTTAATTGTCTTGAGAACCAATCCTTGCTTTATTAAAATGCATAGATTATCAAGAATGCATACCACCAAACCATATTAATATCCTACCTTATGTCACGTGGTCTAATGGAAGCTGAAATACTGACTAGAAGTAAAATGAGGAGAATGTCTTGACTATGCATATGTACCTGGTATGTCATTATAGTGAGGTTGGAGGTGATTCACTGATAAAGAGCTTATTCTTTATCATTACATGGTATTACACTGGAATCATTTAAATTCCCAATGTTGTTTTTAAGAAACAATTCATTTTAAACCTGAGCCTGTTTAACATATGACCCCATTCAAGGTGGGTAAACTAACTCAATTTTCTTGTGTGAGTCACAAAACATTTCCTCTGAAATCCACCCTTAGCAGAAAAGCTGAGATGTAATTTTTAATAACAGGTTGGAAATAAGCACATGATGATGCTGGTGCTGCATGCTCAGTTTTAACATTCATCACCTGGCCATTTCCAGGGAAACAGTGCCAGAGGTTCACAGATAGGGAGACAATTTTACCATCCTAGCAACACCCGCCCCCCAATTTCCAATATATTTCAAACTATTTTCTTTCCTACTCAGAAATTAGAAGCCACATTTGTATAATTTTACTTAAGGACATGAGACTAAATATCTAAATGTGCTGAATATTATTATAAGGGATCTACTATTTACTTAAAACAAACTAGTAACAAAAAGATCAAAGAAGGGCATGGGCATGACAGAGCACTGATGACTTCCTCTTCCCAGGCTGCCGTAAACATTATTTTTACCAACAAGTAACAGAGTATATTTCTCTGAGCCTTTCAACAACTTCAGCTTAAACTGTGAAATTCAGCATTCAAAGCAGTGAAATTATCCCAGTGGAAGCATAGAACATGAGATTAAAAAGAGTGTGATAGGTGTTATCCACAGCCACCCCCTTTTCACAGCTCCACAGCTTGGGCCTTCTCAAGACACACTGGAGGAGAAATGCTTAAAGAAAGTCAGTGTTCATCTTCTGACTTCTTGGGTTGGTCGTTGATTGGACCAGAGCAAGGCAAATCTGGAAGGCAAGGCTTTCTAAGAGAAAAATCGTCCCCTAAGTGTTAAGCATGTAGACCTTGAGTTGGACTTGCATGCTGGGCATGATAGCTTACACCTTTAAACCTACACTCAGTAGGCAGAGACAGGTGAATCTCTGTGATTTCCAGACCAGCCTTGTCTACATAGTAAGTTCCAGGACAGCCAGGGCTACACAGTGAGACCCTGTCTCAAAATCAAATAAAGTCAAGCTTGATCACAGGTATCTCTGAAGAGATATGACAAGAATCCACCTCAGATCCAGAATCCTGCAACTGACAGGAAGAGAAAAAGAAGCAGCCACAGGTGTGGCAGGGATATCAGATTTCTACACTTGGGGATTGATCTTGAAGAAGACAGTGTGGGCCACAGATAATCTAGACCAGGCAGGAGGAGTCTGTGAATGTGATGGCTAGAGTTCAGTCAAGCTTTAAAAACTATGAAGTCTCAGAGAAGCCTCTATTCTGCCAGCAGGGTGAGGTCACAGCAGGTAGTGAGAGGACAAAGTGACCCTACAGAAGAGTCCAGGCAGGGAAACCAGTTCATGTAGGAGAAATCTGCTGAGCCAGCACAGATTAGAAAGCATCATGTCAGCAGTCAACATGCTCTGCAGTAGGGAGCAGAGACCTGATGATTTCAAAAGCCATGGTCGTCTACAGGAGACGACACCTCTGCATTTGTGACCACCAGGCTTGGCAATTGCCAGAAAAGAAGAAGAGGAGTCAGAAGAGTGGCCAGGAGACCCCGTTCCCACAGTCACCATGCACAGAGAAAGCTTCCTCCCTCCTCGCTGCTCTCTCATTAGTGGGAATAAGGAGGAAGGTGAACTGAGTGAGGTAACCAGAGACAACTAGAGCTTAAACTGCCAAGTTACTTTCCGGGCTGTTACCCATCTGCTTCTTCAGATGGATCACGAGCAAGACCGCGAACAGGTAGTTAACCTTTTTATTCCTGTCCCATACAGCCACACTACTGGATAGTGGCATCTGAAGGAGTCATCGGACATGTTTGTTTTGTATATGTTTGTAGCTCAGTGTCTCTACTTCTCATTGCTGAGCTTGGAGCTATTTTGGCTTTCTTTCAGCTCCTAGACCAGGGCTTCGAGGTTGTAGGTACTCAAAATGGTGGGGATGTTGGAGGAGAGGTACAGCTTCTTAGGGTACTTATTTGGATTCTAGCAGTTGGTAAAACTGACGTTTCTTAGTTTTTATTTTCTTCCTCGATGAGGAATTTCAGTTTCAACACAGAAGCCAAACAATTAGGCATCTGGCCTCCTGTTGAGATGCTTATCTGGTGTGTTCATCTACTTTCGTCATTCGTCAGTGCTTCTCTGTTATGTCTTATAAAGCCTTCTGGAAAATTAAAGAGGTCATAATCACCCCCAGCTCTTCATGTTTATGACCCATCATTTCACAGAATATTGTAACTTCCTTCAAAACATGCTCACTGCCTCCAGGATGAGCCTTCTCTAAGCCCACCATCTTTACTGCAGAAGGGAATTTCTAGTGCAATCACACAGAGGATGCTGTTTTCTTGCTCACATGGAGTCCTGTCTTGTGTGATAAGATGGCACACATGGCCACAGATGTTTGGGACTTGGTTTCTTTCCTGAGTCTCATCATCAACTTTGACTCCATGCTCTCTGTCAGCATCACGTGCGTGTGCTCTTTCCTGCTGCTTGTCCCCTACTGTTAACAAGTTTGGAGTGTGCTTCCTTCCTTCTTGCCTGCATGCTAAGCTAATTCCTCAACCACTTCACATACAAAGTTTTAAAGGATATCTGGGCCCACCTGGAGTCAGCTATTCTAGGAGTTTCCTGTGTGTTTTCCACTCTCTTGTTCACGGTGGTACCCAGCTATCAAAACATCTGTCTTTTCTCTCCACCCAACTGTACCTCAGAGAAGAGGGAACTAGTCACTGCTAGGGTTCAGCAGGGTGACCAACCTACTCTCTAGAGTTGCTCATCGCTTGCAGTTGAGAATGAGTGATGCCTAAAGTACCACGTTTCAATGTCACCACCATCATTACTATCACCAACAGCATCATGTTGTTGTTGCTGTGTTCAGAACAAGTTTTTCCTATACTGAGAGACAGCAGAATTGGTCGTGGTGCACTGATGTAAACGTTATAGAAAGCGGGAAGTTCCCGAGTGAAAAGTGGTGCTTTGATTAACTTTGGGAGTTGAAATAGATAATTTGCTTCTAGCCATTTTCTTCTCTGTTTTAAGAGGAATGTTATGATCTTAGAAAACTCAACTAGTTGATATCTAAATAGATGGATTGGTAACTTTCCCCCTAAATGATGTAGCCTCAAATTAGAACAGTGAGAGACTCTTTAAACACGAACAAAGCTCTGAGCATATTTACATTTCGTGTTTGGATAATGACTGGTAATTCTTCGAACATTTCCCATACAGTTATCGCAGCACATCATCTTTTGGAGTTTGCATCATCCTGCCATGAATGTTGCTCAATAATCAAGGGGACAATATCTGCTTTTATGTCAGTGACCTTTCCGACTGGCCTGGCAAGCCACACCCCTTCTCAGCCCTTGCCTGAATCCTCTGTTTCAAAGTATCAATTTAGAAAAAAAATTGAAAATTGTTGTCCTGTTGAAATATTTTAAAAATAGAGGCCTGACTACTCTGATTTTTCCTGGGAATATGATCACCCCAGAAGAGTGAAGGTTTACGGAATATTTGGGTCAAAAGGAGGTACAATAGTGATTAAAATGATGACTATGGAAGGCAGCCCACGGAGCTCTTTCTATCACTGCTTACCGTGTGAAATTCTGGGCAGGGTTTCTGTCCCATGTAGAAGGAGCAGGGTGCGCCTCTGACAGCTCTGCGGTACATTGCTGTTAATTCACATACACTTTTCTTTCTGTCTCCCTTATCAATTGTACAGGTCTAGGAGGAAGAAGAGCTAATGCTCTATAATGGTCCTTGACCTCAAATCTCTAGTTGCCAACCTAGCTCAGGAAGGCTATGATAGAAGTTCATTAGCTGTTTTCCTATTTAAAAAAGTTAAAATTTGTGTTTACCAAATTAAGTCCATATTTTAAAAAATCCAGTCACACTTAATGTATTGCTGCATGGCTCAGCAGCTCTAATTGCTATGTATTAGAATAAGACAGAAAGATAACAGAGCTTTAATAGAAACACAGTTTGAAGAATAGACATTTTAAAAATCAAAGCCTTCCTAGGGCAAGGAGGATAGCAAAAGTTACCTTCAATGACAAGACACTTCAAACCACTGCTGGTTAAAATAGCTAACAAGGAAAACTCAAAAGAAAAACAACCGTCATAGACAAAGATGTGTTAAGCTTCACATGTACCTCACAAGAGAAAATCATATTAAAATGGGTCTCATTTAAAATACTATTTGGGAAGTTGGCTACAGTTGGGGTTGATGAACAATTTCAAAGATAATTAAAAAGTAAGGTACAATGTATTCCTGAAGACTATAATGCTGCTTGCATATTTTACTTTCATCTGTCTAAATATGGGCCATGACACCACTGTCACCCCCCCCCCCCCCCCCCCCCCCCGAGAGTTAATAGTATGGTTCAGCTTCCTGGAAGTACTGAGCAGAGTGGCCCTCCATAGCTGCCCTCTTCCTGTTTCTCTGAAAGTGCCCTGTCAGTTAAAAGCTTTCAACCAGCTTAGAAGTAATGTGTTCTCCATTTCACCATGAGTCGTAAGAAGGCAAACAAACCTGTGTTTAACAATAAGGTCAGCGTGACACAGGCAACCAGAGCCAGTAAATCGAAAATGAGGTTGACATTCTGGGACTCATCCAGCAGTCCTGCAAAGGTTTTCCAGACTCCCCAGCTGCGTGGAGCTTGGATGAGCCTGGGTGCATCCTCCAGCCATGGCCAGAGCTCTGCTTTGGAATGCTGTCAACATTAAGGGGGAGCAGGCCTGTTTGCCTCCCTTCAAAGCAGCCAGGCTGTTACTGTTGTTTAACTCATCATCAGTGCCCCATAAATGCTTAAATCCTTCCAGGGAAGAGAGGATAAGCAATGAAAGGAAACTACTCTTTGCCCTTTATTTTAAAAATTAAGACGAAGTCTAACTGTGTGGCCAGGCTGGTCTAGATTGTGCAAGCCTGTCTCAGACTACGCAGTCCTGAGGTTCCAAGAAGGCATTGACACACAGCATTTAACATTAGTTTTGAAGACCTAACTTTGGAGATGGGTAGGCCAGGAACTTGGTGGTCTGCAGGGCTTTCCCCCTGAGTCTAACCTGAATCTGATTGTTTAGGTTTTGTTCATCTTGGATTCACACCATAATGTGGAGTGTAATCCATATTGAACTGTGTATTTCATTCTGTGGGTGGATCTATGATCTATGGCTTTCTACTTACTTTTATTTTAACGGTCAGGGTGTGTGAAGCAATGTTACACTAAAGAAGTGGCAGGTTGAAGGTAGAAGCAGACATTGCACTTGGTGCCCAACCTCAAATAAAGACAACAGCAATGTCACAGAACCCTGGTGATCTGCTAATGAAAATTATGCCATGATCTAGTCTAGTGCAAGTGAGCAACATGGGAGTTTACACACCTTTTCTAGAGTATTTGCCTTTGAATTACTTTTAGAATTTAAAAGATGAAGATGTTTCCTACATCTGAGAGGTTGATCATAGGAAAGAGAAAGCTGCACCTTCCTGGAGTCTTCCCCTCGTCCAACAAACTCAGTCCTTAGGAGAGTGGTTGCTGAATTTGGAGTAAACCAAAACCAAAACAAAACCAAGGTATCTTCAATATTGAAAACATATTTTCTAGCCTTGAGTGCTCCTTATATATGAGGCTATGGCGTTTTAAAGATATTTGAAGGATTCATATTTCAGCCTAAAATCTGATTGATAAGGGCAAACAGAGACGAGGCAAAGGGCCACGGTGTCCATAGCGTCAATGGAACGTGCAGCAGTTTTCAAAGGGATCGAAGCTCTCAGATCAAGCAGTCAGGGAGATCTGGTATCATCAGCAAATAGCAATGCTGTTTGGGAAGTTGATTTCAGCATGAGTTGTAGATCCCATTGTCAGATGTTAGAGATAGAGTTCCAGCCTAAGTTTTTGGAAGAGCTGTGTTCTAAAAAATTAGTACTATTACTGTCAGATATTATAAGCAAAAGGTGATATGTTCTTTAGATTTCTTTCTCTCTTCCTTCCTTCTTTCTTTCCTTCCTACCCTCCTTCCTTCCTTTCTCTTTTAGTTTTTTTCAAGACAGGGTTTCTCTATGTAACCCTGGCTATCCTGCAACTCGCTTTGTAGACCATGCTGGCCACAAACTCACAGAGATACAACTGCTACTGCCTCCCAAGTGCCAAGGTTAAAGGGGTGTACCATCAGCACACGGCTACTCTTTAGATTTCTTATGAAACAGGCCCTAAACTCAAAAAGCTATATTCTTCTCAGGAAAAGAAATAAAGTAAATACATCTCAAATTAAGTCAAATATTTCACAGTAAATAGCAGAAGAAAAGCAAGTAGATTTTCCAGATTTCTTTTTTCACTAGCTTATAGAACTGATTAGTTTGACAAAATTATAGTCAACTATGACATAATGAAAATGCATTTATGGCAACTGACATTTCTGACTGCTTGTATGGATGCATGCAGACATATATCATGTGCCTATTAGTTGCAAAGGAGTTGGGTAAGGCTTAATGACATACCTCTAGCTTACACTCATGTAGCCAGTAAATGACCAAGAAGTGGGCATAGTCCCAAGTTAGCCCTTTATGTACATCGTTAAGTCAATCACTATAGTTGGGAATAAATTAGAAGTTACAAGTTGATGCACCATGGCTATTTAAAACATATTTTATTTCATACCTGTACAGGAGTAAAAGTTAAAGATAAGGGTGAAAAAACACAGTGGAAAAGCATCACCTAACTAAAGGTGCCATGTTTTTAAACACTGGAAACAAAATAGTTCCACAAAACAGTTAATACTGGCCATAATCATCTTTTGAGACACAGATGGTTTGTCTAACTTTTGTAAGGAAATCTACCATTAAGTAAAAAAATCTGCTTCAGTGACATTCAAGTATTTCATGATATAAAGCCTGTGTTCTTATGCTTTAATTTTACTCTAGAACAACCCACAGAACATGACCTGCAGAGTGGAGATAAAGGTTACGATGACTAGATAGGAATGGAGGAAAAGACTCAGTGATGAGGTAACTTCCATTCGGTCATGTCATGTTCTTCTGGGAATGTTTTTCTTTCTAAGCTTAGCCTTAAATAGTAAATCGTGGTGTTTAGACATCTAAACTATGGATGGAGATCAAAATCAAGAATATCAAATGTTTTTAGGCAGTTGCAAAACAGGGCCATAATAAACTCCAGCCCTGAAGACAGCACACTTTATTTACCCTTAGTTGAAATGAAATTAGAAAATTTTCATTATCTTAAAAATTAGACTGTGCTAGTAGACAATGGTAACTATTATCAAATTAGTCCAAATTCAAAGGAAAAACGATTTGTTTGCATCCAGTGTTCCAGGGGCCATTACTTGAGTAAAAGAACTCATGACATTAGTCTAGGCTACATTCAATTAATCAATCTTTTCCAGTCCATACAACTGCCACAGAAGAAAATTTTCCCTAAGTATTCTAAAAATTATTTTTATTGTGATTATATTTGTGGGGAAATGATATTGAAAGCTTTTCCAATAAACAAATGTACATACCAATTTAAAGCAAATGAATTGATGACAGTTGCCTAGATTATATAGTTATTATTTTAAAATTCTATCCTTTTCTAGAACTTATCTTATTCAAATTGTACATAAATAATGTCTTGCACATATCAAACCTTAAGAATGAAGTTTATATATCCCACAAATATCTGATGGCCCTCTACTCAACAGACACTAGATTTTTATTACTCCTGGGCTATACCTTTCTTGAGTTATATACAATTTTTCTTAAGCTCCATGTTCTATTAAATCTTGTTAACATATTTTCTTATGCTAATAGTAGGTACTCAAAAATAGTTGTTGAATAAAATCAGAAATAAGGGGACAATTTTACATCAAGGTTTGCAATATAAAACAATAGGAGTACTTAACTATTTGTAGATTCCTTTATAGGGAAGGAAATAATATTCTATTCATTCTGTTATAAAGTTCAGAACAGGAAACAGACCATTGTTCTGAATCCATATAAAATGTGCTCCCATGTCGTAGCTAACAAAGGGCAAGATGTCACAGGATAGGGAAAAAACAGCTTAGAAATGAAGAGAAGTGAACTTGCAGGCAAATTGAGTAACAAAGCCATGAGAAGTGTCTCGATGTAACCCAGGAGAGCCACAGCAAGAGGACAAATATGACCGTCATCTCTCTATCAAGAAAATGTTGTTTTCCCTCAGCAAAGCCCACAGACCTATGGGCCATCAGAGCAGGGCCGCAGCATATTATTGTAATTTAGACAGCCACAGGGAAACCTAGGGGCGATCTAATCACTGTGTGGTGGACTGAGGAAGACTTTACAGAAACAATGCAGGTATGCAAGGTTAACACATGCCTGGGTCTAGAGTGAGAGTGGAGAAATTCTGGCAGAAAAGGTGATGTCACATAGAGACTGGCATGGCAGGAATGTAACAGCAGGGTAGTAAACTGACAGATTAAAGAGTAACTGTTAAGGATGTAGCTCAAGATTTTTTCTTAATAAATGTGAGGGTTTTTTTTCAAAGCCCACTTGGAAATTCTGATGTGTAGATGAGTGATGGACGAAACGGAAGTCCCTGAACAGAAATAGCAGAACCAGATCCTTTAGCCCGAAAAGTGACATGAGAATGTGTGTGTGTGTGTGTGTGTGTGTGTGTGTGTGTGTGTGTGTGTGTGTGTGTGTAGATTATGAAGAGCCAGTCAAGAGTGTAGTGTATTTCAGACGCAGGGCAGGAGAAGGTATGTAAACTAGAGAGGAAGAGCATCTCTTTACTCATGCTGATGGCTGGAGTACCTGGGTAAATCTCTGTTTAGCTACTCTACCTGAGGTACCGCACAGCAGGTAAGCCAGTATGATTTCCTCATGCATGAAATGAACGAAGCCAACGAGTCCTGATTGGTTCCTTATTTTAATCCCTCTTCTAAATGTGCTAAAGAACTTATTGTTTATGGATATACCACAGTCAGTTCTTTTTTTAATTTAGAGAATTTATTGTTAATTTAGAGAAATTATTGTATAATATACATATATGTATATAGTATATATATAATATGACTGGAATTGATATCAATGATTTGATAAAAGCAAACAGTAACTGACTTTATTGAGTTCACCAGTGGTGTAAACTTGGTGTGTGTACACATGTGAGACTTTTATTCAACATTCAGATCTCCAGTAACTCATTGCAGTAAAGAACTGTTGTCTGTCTTTCAAATGAATATTTTAAGTAGAAATGATAGAGTGAGTTGTGTGTTTGATCATCACTGTATCTGGTTGTGTTATTTTCAGCAAGTATCTAGGATTTCCTGAAGCAACTCACTTAGAATTGGGTCGTAGGCACTCAAAACTTTCCACCTGAGATTTGTCTGTTTCTAGAGCATGTCTTTCAAATTCAGAGGCACTAAAAATATTTTCCACCTGAGAGTTACTACCCATATTTCCCTAAAAAACCCACTATCCCCAAGAAGGGAATGTATTTACCCCTCCCCTCCTCCCTGCTTCCCCCCCCCCCCCCCCCGACTCACTCTTGTCCCCTTCCCTCCCAGTCTTCTTTGATAAAATGTTAATAAGAAGTGACAGAGATGGGCAAAGGAAGCGTTTGCCAGGAAACATGCTATCACCCTGGCAAGGACACGAGACTACCAAGGGTGACGTCAGCCAACAACAGGGATTCCAATGAGAGAACAGACCTCCTGATTTCTACATCCACAGGACCGTATCTGAAGGCATCTTCTCCCTCAGACCCACCCTCAACAGTGTCACAGCAACTGTGTGGCTGTTTATTTACTCTGTCACAAACCTGCTTCCAACCACAATTTGCCTAGTTTCAAAATATCAACCCGTTTCAGCTCCCTTTCTGTTTTCCTGTTTTGTTTTGTTTTTCTTCCTTCCTTCTTTCCTTCCTTCCTTCCTTCCTTCCTTCCTTCCTTCCTTCCTTCCTTCCTTTCTTTTGTTTTCTTTCTTTCTTCATTAAAAACTCTTTGAAAATCTGTTTTAGGTTATGAATCTTCTCACAAAATAGTTACATTTTTGGCTATCATTTTAAAGGCTCAGCTTTGGGAAACCAAAACAACTACCTAGAAGTAGCATGTATGGTTTATTGTTAAAGGTAGGGGTGTTTTTCCCCCTATAGGGGAGATTTGTTAGATGTTAGATGCAAAGGTTGAAAAAATTCTCATCCAAAAAGTAGGAAATAATGTAGATGAGATATAGTTTACTTATACAATCAATTTAGTCCGTTTTTAACTATGTAAACTCTCAAAGAAAATACGGCTACATAAAACACTTTAGAAACTCCACTTAGACGTTACAAAGGAAAATCAGAATCTCCCAAGTTTTCTCATAATTTACACAGTGTGATATGTATACATGTAAGGCTTTCAGAAGAACATTATAAAGACTCAAGACTTGACCATCCTAACCAAGACAAAAAAGACATATCACAAAACTCAATTTTTGTAAAGAAAACAAAGCAAAGACGTCACTTTTTATGAAAGAGAAGAGGCTTCACCATGCCCGCCAAGATCTTGGGCAACTGTGCAGCAATAACTTCAGACATCATTTCTGGAAATTCCACAGCTAGTGTCCGAGACTGGATGAATGTGTTCAGGCAGTATAGGTGGAGCTGTTTCACAAGCTGTTGGTTTAACAAGTGGTAGGTAATGTGAGAAAAACAATAAACCCACACACTGTTCAAACATGATAACTTATTTTTTTAATACTGGAAAAACTTGTCCAGTTGTTTGTTCTTGCCAATACTCGGATAACTCTCTCTGCTCTCTAGGATAATATGAAAAATGTTTTATACTCACGATGGAGCATGCTGGTAATATGATATTTCAGAGATTTATTTCTGTCTTCTGTGTATGAATGCCTGCATTTATGTATGTGCACTAATTGCATGTAGTACTCATCATAGTCAGCAGATGGCATCAGATCCATTAGAACTGGAATTACATGTGGCTGTGAGTCACCATGTGGGTGCTGAGAATTGAACCCGAACCTGGGCCTTCTACAAGGAGCAAGGGCTCTTAACTATTGAGTCATCTCCCCAGACCCAAATGTGTAATATTTAAAAGTAATGAAAATTAGCGATATTCCAATGTTCCAAAGTGAACGTTTGATTTAATTTTCATCCTTTTTTCTTTTTATGCATGTATGCACATATACACATAATATTGCAAATACGTAAAGGTATACATTTTCAAAATGCAATAGTTTCATAAATCCCATTTGTTAATCAGACTTTTTCACACAACAATTTACCGATTCTATTTCAGTAACTCAACATAAATCATAAAACTCAGGGCCTCAGGCATGTGACCTAAGAACTGTATCACTGAGTAATATAGCCAGCTTCTCTTTAATATTTACTTTTTATTTTGAGACAGGGTCTTGCTAAATGGCCCAGACTACTGTAAACGTTCACTGTAGCTCAGAGAATTCTGTGAGTTTGTGAGCTTTCTGAATTGGCCTCTTAAATATTAGGGAGTGTAGGCCTATATCAGCAGGCTCAACTTTTATCTTTTTTTTTTTTATTTTGCAGTACAATTCAGTTCTGCATATCAGCCACAGATTCCCTTGTTCTCCCCTCTCCAGCTCCCCTCACCTTCCCCCCAGCCCACTCCCCATTCCCACCTCCTCCAGGGCAAGGCCTCCCCTGAGGACTGAGATCAACCTGGTAGACTCAGTCCAGGCAGATCCAGTCCCCTCCTCCCAGGCCAAGCCTAGCGACCCTGCATAGGCCCCAGGTTTCAAACAGCCAACTCATGCAATGAGCACAGGACCCGATCCCACTGCCTGGATGCCTCCCAACAGATCAAGCCAATCAACTGTCTCACCCATTCAGAGGGCCTGATCCAGTTGGTGACCCCTCAGCCATTGGTTCATAGTTCATGTGTTTCCATTTGTTTGGCTATTTGTCTCTGTGCTTAATCCAACCTTGGTCTCAACAATTCTCTCTCATATAAACCCTCCTCATTCTCGCTAATTGGACTCCCAGAGCTCCACCCAGGGCCTAGCCATGGATCTCTGCATCCAGATCCCTCAGTAGTTGGATGGGGTTTTTAGCACGACAATTAGGGTGTTTGGCCATCTATGTTATTTACACAATTTAAGTCTCATAGTACTGTAAGATAGATCACAAAGGAAACAACAGAAGCAAAATCTAGAAGTTCCTCAGGAAGCATCTTTCTACTGTTATATTCAGTTTTTTACTAAGTCAGTATCCTACATTTTGACTAGAAAGACTGGTATTGTTTCCTGATGTGCAGCATTTCCTTTCTTTCATCATTTTCATTTTGTGGGATCTGATTACCTTGTATCTTATTTCTTTTACTTTTCTCTCCATTTGGCACAAAGCCATAATCAACTTCCCTGACAGGATGGTGAAAACCACCTCAACATAGTTGTGCACATTAGTGACCCCCTAGCTCCATTTTCATCCTGGAGTTGGTGTGCTGGAGTCTAGTGCTGTCTTACTGGTCACAAATCAGAACAGAGCCAAAAGCAGAGACTTACTGCTCCTCCCAGTCATGCTGGGGCATCACCATGCATACCTCCTGTTGTCTTACTGGTCACAAATCAGAACAGAGCAATAAGCAGAGATTTATTGCTCCTCCCAGCCATTATGCTGGGGCATCACCATGCATACCTCCCGGCTTGAATCCCCTTCACCTACAGCTTTCTGTTCAATAGGAGCACATCCCAGGAAAGGTTATATTTGAGATGTCCTCTGCAAGACTTTATGAGTGTGAAAGACATTGGTGGTGGCATTGCAATTGTTTGGCTGTTTGACTGGTGATTTTCCTCTCCTTGGGATTCTGAAGACACTGCTCAGCCATTGTCCTAGATCCAGTGTCCCTCCGAATGCTGGCAGTTTGCATATACGTTATTTCTTTTCCCACTGGTGTGCTTAGGATTTTCTTCTCATTCTTGGTATGATGAGCTATTATAGTGCACCTTGGATGAATTATGCGTTACCCATATTGCAGTCCCTTACATTTAGAAAATTCACATCTTTAGCAAAGAGAAGGGACCCATGGCTGGAGGACTGCTACAAGAATGAAGGTCAGTATGGGCTACATGGCAACTCCATGGCTCAAAAAATGAGAAAGAAAAGTGAGAAAAAGAGAACTCATATCCTTCCATTTGAGAAACTTCCCTGATAATTTCCCTGCCTTTGTTTTCCTATACTCTTTCTTCTGCAAATTCCTATTAAACTTGAATTTGAGGATGAAATCTGACTTATCATGTCTTAGGTTTTAATATTTTCTACTGAGAATGTCCTTTGTATTTCATGACTTCTGTTGATTTTTTTTCACTTTTGTTGAATTTCAATACCTTCAATTGTGCACTTAATTGTCCTGAAGTTTTATTTATTTATTTTTTATTGTTTGCTAAATGTTCCTTTTTGAAGGCTCTTATTTCTTTCTTTGACATAGTACCATTGTGTTTCTTTGAGGCTCTGTGAATTTTTCTCCTGTCTCCTGTACTGGTGCTTTATCCTTCAAGTTTCCTTTTTCCTAGGCTTATTCTGTTCTCTGCTTTTTATTGTAATGATTTAATTCAAGTAGCTTATCATGGTCATAAAGTGTTTATAATTCAGGCTCACAAGCTGACCTGCTGAGTAGGTAGCTTTTCTATGTCGTTGACTCTCATTTTCACGTGGTTTCTTATGCAACAGCAATAAAAGCTAGTATCTAAGATGTCTCAGTTAACACACACACACACACACACACACACACACACACACACACACACACATCTGTTAAGTTTTACCAATCTAGCTCCACAGTGTTGGGCATTTCTGGGCTGCTTATTATAGCACAGTATAGAAACAATAACCCAGAAAGAATTTAAATAATTTAATTTATGATTTCTTTATGCCTTTGAATGAAATCTTGGAAAGTGTGAAGCTCTTACCTGATTGCCATCAGCAAGAGTATTTACAAATACACACATAATGGCATAACAGCGTTATTTTCTATACTAATATTATGAAGCAAAAACTTATTTTAGAAACTATTCTGAAAAATATATGATAATTTGTCTTGGCCATTAAATTATCCTTAAGTGATATACACACTTTGAGAAGTCAACATTTAAAATAACGGCGTGTGTGATGTAGTCTTTTAAAACCCAACTACAAATAAGAATTTGGGGAAACCATACTGTGAAGACTAATACCAGTCATCAATTTGACAAGATCTAGAATGATCCAGAAGACAAGCTTTTGGACACATTTAAGAGGGATTGTCTAGATTATATTAGTTTCTAGGCATGCTGTAAAAGAATATGTTGATGGCACCATACCCCAAGCTTGGGTCCTGGACCGTCTAAAAGAAAAAGTGCTATCTGAGACTCAGAATTTATCACTTCATTTTTTTAAGAGATTAGAGAAATTCACAGCATTCTTACCAATAATCTGGAAAACAAAATACTTACATCATGCAAACTGTCAAGAAGCTTCGTAAGTTGATAGAAGCGCTGTGAACTGGGGACCACCCCTTTCTGCCTTAAGCCTATTGCCTTGATCAATTCCCGGATATAGCTTGACCTCATCTCTTCAAACTGACTTTGGCTCCTCAGTCCTTCCAGAGGAACTGTACAAAAAATAACAAGAAAGTGGCAGCTATGTTAAAAAGGGGACACTAACAAACCAGGAAGTGGTGGCGCACACCTTTAATCCCAGCACTCAGGAGGCAGAGGTATGTGGATCTCCAGGTTCAAGGCCAGCCTGACCCGAAGAGCCAGGGCTACACAGAGAAAACCTGTCTCAAAAAAAAAAAAAGATCCTAACAATGTATGAATTTCTGAGTTAGATAACTAATGTATCACTTATGTAATTTTTAAGTTATATATACTCACACACACGTCATTTTAAATAGGAAAGCAATGGTGCAATTGGGAAAATCCAGACACGGAAATCTTTTAATTGTGGAATAATATATGAACAACTTATGTTTCAGACTTTTATCTAGGAACTATGCATTTAATGTAGTATTTGCTTGAAAGAGTTGTTGGTGTTATTATACAGTCTTGCTTCAGATATCTGGTTTTATTTGACTTATGGTTCCATTATGGGTCTTCTTAATTTAAGTTTTTTTCTTTTAAACAACTATTTGAATTTCTTTATATAGTTTTGTCTTCTTCATGTAAATCTCAAGTATTTCTTATTACAATTGATCTTGGAAACTTATCTTTTTGTTGTAATTTTAGCATTGCTTCATTTTCTACTGCTTTTCTGCTGATGTGGGAAAAGCTGATCATATTTGAGTATTTACTTCGTATTCATTGACTTAACTATTTCTTTTATATTCATTGACTCAGTCACTTGGTTTTCTTGGTGTATTTCTAATAGTATTTCTAGTCTCATCTTTGCTGTATTCATAGCTGGTAGCTGCCATTCCTTTTGCTTCCTTCCCGACAGCATCTCATGTAGCCAGGCTGCACTCAGACTCACTGTGTAGCTTCAAATGACCTTGAATTCTTGATACTCCTGCCTTTCCTTTCCACATGAGTCAACATGCTCAGCTCTTCTAGCTATCATTTATCAATCAATTAATTGTACTATTCAACATTTTCCTAACAATAGTAACACATAATAGTGAAGGTAGATATTCATGTTTGATTACTTACTTTAAAGAGAATTAAGTTCTTCCCATATGTTCACTAATGATTTAGGTAGTTTCCTCTGGTCTGCCTTTATGTATTTGTGTGCTGGGACTGAGCTGAGCATCATCTGTTCCGACTAAGCTACACACACAGTTTTAGCTCCTTTCCTTCCCAAACCTCCATGGATCTTACAAGTGTTGGCTGTCACATTTCCCTCCACTTCCCGCCCTCTGTCCTGTCTGCTTCCAGAGCTCCCAGCTTTCTCCTTCATCTCTTCTTTCACTACAATCCTGCACATGAACCTTCAGCCTCAGGTGAACTTGTTCTGGAGCCACGTATGGATGCCAAAAGGAAAACACAGAACCTCCTCAATTTACAGTACTACACATTTGTGATCTTTTCTCAGCATTACTTCTGTAAAGAAGTGCATTCGTATTAAAGAGAACTGCACATACCTACCAAAGGTCTTTAAAACCCACCACCTCATACCTCAGTGTTGGCTGCTTTCTACTGCTCTTGGATAAGGATACAAACCAAAGAGAGAATAAAACAGTAACTCTTCAGCTTTCAGTTTTGAGCTGTTCAGATCCTGAGTATACAGGGGGTCCTCAGGAGTAATTTTTGCAATAGTTAATGAACATTTAATTCTTGTATACACATCTGTACAGATATGGGACATGCATGCCTACAGTCTTCTCTTCAGTTACCCCAGAATATAGTCATTTCAAATCCATGTACTTCTCTTTAAGTTTCCAAACTAATCCCTGTAGCTAACTCACCCTGATATGTGAATATGAAATTATTTTTCTTGGTTAAACCCCTTTACTAGGAAATTTGTTAGAGCATGTGTGTAGTCTGCTACCTATTCCTAGAGAGTTTTGCTTTAATTTTTCATGGCACACAGGAAATTAAATTGATAACAATCAACTTATCAAACTTTCTCATTTCATTTTTTAAATTTGTTCTCTCTCTCTCTCTCTCTCTCTCTCTCTCTCTCTCTCTCTCTCTCTCTCTCTTTCTGTGTGTGTGTGTGTGTGTGTGTGTGTGTGTGTGTGTGTGTGTGTGTGTGTGTGAAGGTATATGCACAGCTGTGTATGAGTGCTTCCATAGACCAGAAGAGGGTGTTAGATTCCATGTCCCTGGAGACACAGGTGGCTGTAACCATCCTACAGTGATGCTGGAATCAAACTCTGGGCCTCTGCATAAGCACAAGCACTCTTAACCTCCAAGCCACCTCTCTAGACCCATAGTTTTTGTTTTGCAAAGGTATTTTCTATTTGAGATTTGAAAAAATTATATTTCTTTATTTGTTTTTAAACAATTTCAACATCTACGTTTAACTGAATTATCTGGATATATAAAGATATCATTTGAGCTAAATAAATTTTTTTTCTAAATATAAAGCCATTTCTCTTAATACTATTTTTTTTTACTCGTTGTTCATTATAGTGTTTAAGTATCTGCTTGGCTGCTGAATGTAATCGTCCATCTCCTAGACTGTAAGAAGTACATGGCATTCTAATTCTCTTCCTATCTTTGCAATGCTTGCTTATTTATCCCCATAGATTTACAGATGCTTTTTCAAACACTTTGTATAGTTCTCCCCACTGGCCAAAATATTATTCAAATTTTCATTCAGATGCATAGGATATGTTAGGTACATGGATTCCACAAAAGTACCTTGTATTCTAAGGGACTGACCTTCCTTCCCATCCCAACCTCCCAACCTGTCATCTGAGATCTGTGCCACTAGGGGAAGTCCCTGAAAAGATGATGCTGAGAAAGCACTCAGGTCAGCTCATCATAAGTAACTCCCTGTGACTCTCTTGCAAATCAAAACATTGATTATCCATCTGCAGGCTGAACCTGCCATGTGTAGGAAGGTGCAGAAAGGCTCAGTGCATGCATGTGACATAAGACTTGATTGTCATTTGTACCCTTCTCCCATGACTGTCCCCTGCCTTTCAAGTCTTGCACCCACTTCTTATGTGTTCATTTACAATCAGATGCAACAGAGGTTTGCAGGTCACATGATACAGTGTGGCCACTATGTGGGAGGAACCTGTGTCTTTCTTGTTTACAGCACCCCCACTCCACCCCTACACTCTCACTCCACCCCCTACCCCTACCATCCCCCCACACTGCTGATGCACCAAGTCAGTGATCCTTGTGGCCATTTGCTGTAACTGTCAAACTGTCCCCACACCCTGAGAATATTTCCAAACGTGTGTGTGTGTGTGTGTGTGTGTGTGTTGCACAGTGAATCCTTCTGTGTATGTGTGGTAGGTTTAATAATGGGAAACATAACTTGTGTTCATGTCATATTAGTTAACTTATAAAGCTAAATTAAGTAAATAAATTTATAATTCTATTTCATGGAAAATAAAGAAATTGGCTAGGCTATTTTAGTCTTGTGTGACAGAGAAATACAAAGAAATGCCAAATTGCTTTCTTAAGGGCAATGACAATATATTTGAGATTACTTCTTCATAGTTATGATCTAAGTTTTATACCTGGTATATGTGACCTTTTTTTGACACTTACTCTGTGACTTCAAAAGTAAGGTACTAAGCACACTTGTGTACTCACTTGTATTAAGAAGTAGCAAGACTTTCATACAGAGGAACTCCTCGTGAGTCACCTGAAGCTTGACGAACTCCTGTGGGATTTGCCACATGGTAAGGCACAGGGAGTAGAAGGATGATTCCTTCATCCTCTGTCTGCAGCACACACAGCACATAAAAGAGAACCAGCACAAAATGAAAACCACAGCCGATCACCCGGGTGGTGATAGAACTCGTCAGTGAACAAGAGTCTGGTAATTGTCTTTCCTATTGTTGAATTTGCTGATATATTTAATAAGCAGACAATATTTGGAATTTTAAATGTTTCTAAACTTTTTCGTGGAGTGGCACTAAATTTTTAGGCAAAGAAAATTTAAACATAAAAATGACATTAAATACACACTGATCAAAGTTAATATTGTTTCTTGCTTTTATTATCACACTTTAAACACCCAAATCGAGTAAGAGCAATGTTGTAGGAATTGAGCTTTTGGAACCAGGAAATGCTTTATTACTGAATACTATGTGTATGTGTAAATATAATTTTGTGCACAGTTAATGGATTGCTTCAGTTTATGAGAATTTACAACACTGTGACTTTTTCTAGGGAATATGTGTGGTGACACTAAAACAAATGGAAGAATGGTATTGAACATTAAATAATTGAAAAGGTTAATGTAAGTTCTGAAGATAGAGATCCCTTATTTGAGGCATTCTCTCAGCCATGTGTTATTTTGTGATGTCAACTTTGTTCAAAGCAGCTAAAGGAATAGTGGGATGAAGACAAGATACCCACACTGAAGGATTAAGGTTAATCCTGGCCCCTCAGGTCTGTGCCAGGTTATCCAGTTCTCCCGAGCCCCAGTTTCTTGAACTGGAAAGATGAAGGATGCTGAGTCCTTGCCTAAGTCAAGGGACTATGAGTTAAAGAAGAATGAATGGAGCATGAAGATTGACAGCTGTGAAGACATTAGACAAGTGTCAGTTATCAACTTAGATGCTCACAACTTGACATTCACTATTAGAACAGTGTAGACAACACCAAGGACAAAGTCTTACCACCAGAAGACTACATGCAGAAAACTATTTAGATATAATAAATCACATGAAATATTTATAAAAGATTTATGCTTAATTTCTTAAAGTAAACCAGTACTGTCAAGCAAAAATATTTCTGATATATTTCATAATCTCCACAAGCACAAAAATCTGAAAACTTAATTTGATATGATAAACATTTAATTTTATATTGAGTTGCTCATCTCATTAAGTTTTCAAAAAAATTAAAAATTTTAGTTTGAGATAAACAATACATTTCTAGACAGGAGAGAAGGACTCTAAATATCAAATTAGTGATACAAAGGATTTAACTAAATTTTTCAAACAAATAATTAAAAACTTTCTAAAAGGACTCCAAACTCTCAGAAAATAATGCCAAGGATTAGCAAATTGGATTGCATGAAATTAAGTTGCTTTTGTACTGCAAGGAAAAAAATTAAGTAAAGAGAAAGCCTAAAGGATAGGAGAAAATCTTTGTGAACTACATGTTTGACATAGGATTAATATCTAGACTATGCAAAGATCATAAACTAAAAATAAAGAAATCAAATAAACCAATCAATAAATGAGCTAATGAAATGAACAGACAGTTCCCAAAAGATGGAGGACAAATGGCCAATAAACATATGAAAAATGTTCAACCTTATGAGTCACCTAGGAAAAACTAATTAAAGCTACAGTGAGATTCCATCTTACCACAGTCAGAATGACAGTTAGAAAAACAACCCATGCTGTTGAGGATGTGGGCAGAAGGGAGCCCTTATACACTGCTGCTGGGAATATAAACCAGTCTAGCCACTGTGGAAATCAATGTAGAAGCTCCTGAAAACACTGAAAGTAGATCTATCTACGACCCAGCTAAAATACTTCTCAATATTCACCCAAAGGCCACCAAGTCAGCACATTGTAAAGACCCTCCCCTCCCTTCAATGGTTATTGTTGCATGATTCACAGTAGCCAGGCTATATATGGATAAAGAAATTGCGCGCATGCGTGTGTGTGTGTGTGTGTGTGTGTGTGTGTGTGTGTGTGTGTGTGTGTGTGTGTGTGTATGTTTCATATATACTTCATATCTATAATGGAATTTTATTCAGATATGAAGGACAAAATTATGCTGTTTTTAGATATATAGATATAACTAGACATCATATTAAGCAAATTAAGTTAGACTCCATAACACAAATACATTTTCTCTCATTTGTGGATTCTAGATTACACACACACACACATATATGTATGTATACATTGTGTCATGTATGTATATATGACACAATGACACCAAAGTAGAAGAAAACTGTCCAGAGAAATGAAGAGGGCTGGCGGGGGTGGGGGGGAGAGATGGAGGGCATTGTTAAATGTATATACTTATTGAAAAAGTTTTTATGAACCCCAGTAGTACATACAGTGGATATGGATGAGTAAGTGGTGGTGGAGTCAGTTATGACGGCCTCTCCTGCCAAGCCTGCCAACCTGAGCTCAACCCCCAAGATTTCCTCAGGCTGTCCTCTGACTTCCATGCTGTGCTGTATGTGTGCCCACCCACACACTCACAATACGCAAAATAAACAAATAAACATATAAAATATACACTCATATATATATACAAGAATAAAGAAAGGCAACTTTATCAAGAGAGGTAATTCTCAGAAACTATTTCAGGAAAATTTTGTTGTTTAGGACACTAAACATAGGATCATCTATTGGAATGTAGTTTTTCAAATCATGCTGTGAACATCCTTGTGCTAACAACAAAAGCCACAATGTCACAACTTACTCATTTAGGATTAGATCAGGTGCAAAATATAGCATCTGCCCGCTGACATGCTTGTAGGACCTCCAGCCCAGGCCAAACACCATCAGACTCATCCAGGAGTACTGAATCAGGGTTATCTGGTCATCAATGTGCAAGTTCCGGAAACCTACAAACATTTTGAACAAAAACAATCACAGAAATCATGTGAACAATGTAAAAAAAATCTGTAGGAAATTGAAGCAAGATACGGACATGTTTCCCTAAAAGTCAGGAAATGCTCATAAATAACACAGCCTAAAAAGAGGCAAAGAGGGAGCCACTTCATACATTATGAATATTCGTCACTGCAATTTAGTGCTAGTGGAAATGGCTAACTGAATTAATCATCCATTCTGGATTTAGGCAGCACCCATGTACTGAGACCCATTTTCTTGCTATACACTATGTTAAAATGATGGAAATCAATGCTGGGATCCACACATGGGTGAAAACATGTGGCATTTGTCTTTCAGTGTCTTCTTGACATGATATCCTGTACTCATGAACCCACAGCAGCTGTGGTGCCTGCATAAGACCTGTCCAAGATCACACCTGTAGGCAGTCCAGCCTGGGGAGGGGGGACTCGGAAGCCCCATCCCTTGCTGAGGACCTATAGACAATTGATGGCTTTTCAGGGAAGGAAAGTCAGTTTCCATTAAGGATGTGGCCCCTGGTAAGTCAACCAGACTCCAGTGAATGGCCTCATACCACTGAGTATATGAGCAGCACAAATTTGATCCAGTGAGTTATTATTGGAAAAGACAAAAAAAAAAAAAAAAAAGATGACAAGATGTCCAGAAGGGAGTGGGGAGAGTTAGAGAAGTGGGGGTGAGTTTGCATCAGCAAAACACTTAAAGAAGAAAATACAAGATACTTGTTTTGCATATGGAGGCAAAAAGGATTTAAACACTTCAGTAGCTTTCCTCAAATTTGAAATAAGGGCAAAGAAACAATTTAGGATGAAAGTACCAAATTTTGGACATGCCTGAGCGACCTCAAGAATTTTGATTGCAGTTGGGTATATGGACTTGAAGCCTGTGGTACATCAGGGAGAGAATATGAGTGTGAATGTCACTGTAACTTACAATAGCTGAATAACAAAGTTGGATTTAATATTTTTGCTTAAGATTGAATAAAAATAAATGTTTTAATGTGAACATCAAACCCTTTCCATGAAGCTCTTTGAAAACCACTTATTTTCCTTAAAACTCCACGGACACCCATTTACAAATGACCTAACTCACAAATGAAACCAGAGAAACACTTAATCCATTAGCTATTGAAGGAGAAGGCATTTCTTTCTCGGTTAGACACTCAGGTTCTCTGCGCATGCTCCTGATGGCCCCATCATCATGGGAATAGTTATGGTAGACACTTGGGTTCTTGGCACATGCTCCCGATGGCCCCATCATCATGGGAATAGTTATGGTAGACACTTGGGTTCTTGGCACATGCTCCCGATGGCCCCATCATCATGGGAATAGTTATGGTAGACACTTGGGTTCTTGGCACATGCTCCCGATGGCCCCATCATCATGGGAATAGTTATGGTAGACACTTGGGTTCTTGGCACATGCTCCCGATGGCCCCATCATCATGGGGATAGTTAAGGTAGACATTTGGGTTCTTTGCACATGCTCCTGATGGCCCCATCATCATGGGGATAGTTGAGGGATGGCACTTGGTCTTGGCGTTCCTTAGCCTCCCCTGAGATGAAAATGCGAGTGTGTCCCCTAACCAACGGTATCCCAGCAACCTCCTGCTTTTTTGAGGCACATTCTTCAATGTCTACTCATCCTCCCTCTCATTCCTTTCTGTCTCTGCTTGACTATTGAGTCCCTCTGTTTGGAGTTCGGTAACAGTAAATGCTGCTACTAGGGGAAATGGATAAAACCCCTGCTGCTCTCGGCATCACGTTCAGTGTGGTCCGTGAAGCAAATGCTACCAGGATATTGAATCTGAATCAGCAACGACAAGGTGTGGTTATTTACTGTGAGTGTGGCAGAGGGTACTGATGGGTCCGAGGGATGTGACACTGGACCATTGTCCCATCACAGATGTCTCAGCTTGGGCCGTATTCTGAACCTGCCCTTCACCTCAGTTGAGTGGATGCCTGCTGCCCCGGAGGTTGTTTTCCCTCTTTCCTGATTTGAGATCCAAGAGTTTTCCCTTTCTTCTCTCTCCCTCTCCCTCTCCCTCTCCCTCTCCCTCTCCCTCTCCCTCTCCCTCTCCCTCTCCCTCTCTCTCTCTCTCTCTCTCTCTCCCCCCTCTCTCTGATTAGATACTTTGTTTTCCTTTGTTATGATGGTGTTGGCACCCACAAATCTAATTTACTTTGTGACAGAAAGACTCCATCCAGCCAAAAAAAAATGTGGCATACTATTTTCACAATTTCTTATCTTCATAAGACTCATCTACTTTTTCAAGTTCATACATAGCTATATGGTATGTCAATCAGAAAAAGTATGAATTTTAACACATAGTATAAGTGTTAAAGTATAGTATAAATTTAACACACAGAGCATAAGTATTGCTTGTCATTGACTATTCAGCAAAATGGCTAATTCTTTGATAAAATTCAGAATCAATTGATAAGAGATGTGAATTTTATTTATTTATTTATTTATTTATTTATTTACCATGAAGACTCTAAGGAGGCACATTTGGAGTTGTGGGTTGGTATGACTTCAAGGGCCCTGCAGAAAGGCTTAAGCTCCACTGCTGACTCTAGCATTGACTGAATGCTACATTGAACAATGCAAGCCATAGGATAAAAATACTAATACTACCAGTTGCTAAAGATTCGGAATAACTGTGCATTTTGTTGAGGAATATGCAAATATTTATTAACCCATCAATGGAAACGGCAAAAGACTGTTCATGGGATTAATGCCTATAGGAAAGCCACTAATCAATTTTAGAAGAAATTTCCAATTTAAATGAACCATACATGGTATTGTGCTCTCGTAATCTCAACACTCAGGAACTGAAGGCAGGAGAATCAAGAGTTCAAGTTTATCCTTGGCTACAGATTAAGTTCTAGACCAGCTCTAGCTGTGTGAGAACCTGTGTCAAAATAATATATATATATTATATATATATATATAATATATACATACATACATAACAAAATTCCGTAAAACAAAATAAGACGAAAATTATAAGCCAAAAAGCATTTCCTGTATGTTACAGAAGCCATAAAGAAGCCATAAATATAATTAAAATATAAATACTGTGAATGGCAATAAATTCAGAAGACAAACTAGGCATTACTGGCCTGGGAAGATGGCTCACTCAGCAAACCACTTATCACAGAAGCATGGGGACCTAAGTTTGTATTCCCAGCATTCATATAAGAAAGCCAGCTTTGCTGTGTTGCCTAATCCCAAAGCCAAGGGAATCCAAGACAACTGAATCCTTAGAGTTCTCTGTTAGCCAGTCCAGACAAAACACTTACCACCAGGCTCAGTAAAAGATCCTGTCCTAAAAAATAAGGTGAAGAACATCTGGGAAAGACACTCAGGGTAAATCTCTGGCCTCCACACATACACACATTTGCTTCTACATGTACACATATCTACATGAACAGATGCATACAAATTACACATATACATACAATTAAGCATTCTTGATGAAATGTATATTCAAAATATTTTCAGAATATTAGTTCCATATATATTATTTTATTTATCAGATTGTGTCATATACATATATGGATTTCATTATATATAAAATGACAAATTTATAGAAAGGGTGGCTCAAGTAATTACACATATAAAAATATTAATAGAATGTTCATTATGATCTCTACTAATTCCTAATTAGTCTCTATAATATTCCTGCTCAGTTATAACCTTTCTAATGTATTTTAAAATATCTAAATATTTGACATAACTATGCTGGAGTTTCAATTTAAGCCTTTGTTTTATATTAATCTCTCACTGCTTTTAAAACTTTTACCAAGTTATACATATGTGATTCTTTTTTCTTTTCTGGAAATCCCATCCTGTTCTGTTTCTATTCACTTTATGCTTGTTCTCATGTCTTTTTTGTTTCACCCTTGCATTCTAGGCTTATCAATGTCTTAAAATAAAGGAGCACTTTTACTTTCTTGTAGTATAAAATGCAACTTTTATTGAAATATTTCAAAACTTACTCAGTTACTAACATTCATAGCAAGACATATATTTCCATCTAACAGAATAGAACTCAGAAAATAACCTACTTCCTCCACCTTTTGGAGGTGTATCTGTGGAAAAAGTCCAATGTTAAATTGATTTGAACATGGTTGACTCAGAAGTTCGAAGTTTCCCCCCATTAACTGTGATACATTCCATCATTTTATACAGAAACAAAGCCAGGAACACAGAGATCAAATTCCCGTGGCGATAACGATTAGAGAGATTTAGTGCATTTGAGATGAAAATTAAACTGGAAAAGCTTCTTATAGGGAAGTGATGGATGAGGGCTAATTGTGCTAAACAAGTAGTGTAAAAAAAGGTCCTTTTCTTTAAGTGTCTTGACCTAATAACCTTGAAGAAATGGCCGTGGATTGTCCAAATCTCAATATTTAGGAAAAAAAGGCTAAATAGAGGACAAGAAATGGCATGTGAGACTTGCTGTGCCTTCCACCATTCTGATAAAAATGTACAAGTTGTACTTCTGTTACAAAAAAGTGTCATGTACTTGACATAGTGAACCTCAACCATGGCAGAGCATCACACATCTTAGGACCTTGGGGCACAACATGGAAATGTCAACATGTTAGTGCATTTTCAGATCACAAAAAGGCATAGCCAATGCATCACCAACACATTCAATGACTAAGTGTGACCAAGAACTTCAGCGTTCATGGAAGATAACTTAGTTCTTTATTATAAATTCCACACTTTAGATTTCTACATCTTTTTATTTGTCCTTTTTGGGACAAGGTATTACTTTTAGCAGAGGCTGGTCTTGAACCTAAGTCCCTTCACTGCCTCTACCTCTTCCCAAGAGTTGGGATTCAATCTGGGAAGATACAGGAAAGATTAGATTGGGGTGTGGATGCTTAAGGGTAGTTAGAAGCCAGACAGAAGATGTGAGTGCAGGAAAGAGCCTCAGGAACAGAAGACAACTTGGGGTGAGAACAAGAAGAACTGAGCAAAGAGTCTTTCAGCAAATGTACCTTAGACTTGGGATGAAGGGAAGTTAAGAGGAGTGTTGCCACTTCAGGAACTGGGCTACAGAAGGACCGTGGGTTTTAAGGTACAGAATTTAGACTTTCTTCTGAAATGGAAAGGGGAAAACATGATTGGTTCCAATTATTTTAGAAAGATGATTCTTGGGTTAGAGTAGAGGACTGTTTGAGAACTGAAATGTAGGTAAAGACAGAAAGGTTGATGACCAAACTAAGCTGCATCAGTAGCCATGGAAGTAACATTATAACAAGCCATGCATTGAATAAGAGGTGTTGATACAACTGACAACCAACTGGAGGCGGATGAAAGGAGCAAAGATGGTTCTGAAGGACTGTCTGGGGTGTCATTTCAGGATACAGAAAAATGGTTTTGGCATATGAACTGTAAAGTCACATTAACTTGAGAGGTCATCTGGGTGGAGCCGTGTTACGAGGATTTGGAATGCTTGACTGAAGGGGCTAGGCTGATGACATTATTCAAGTATTGTTGGAGTGGAGTGGGATCATCAAGGCTACAAATGTGTTTATTCAAAATGTGAAGCATGAGAAGGCAGTGGAATAGAGGACAGAGCTCAGGACAGGGGAAATGTACAGTGTGGGTGCAAGGACAACTGTACAATGACGAAAACTTGGTGGGAGAAACCAAGTGCCTGGAAGGAAGAATTTCACTGGGAAGTGGTTACTCTGCCAATAGCCCCACAGGCATTGAAGTGTGTCATGGGTTGAGACCAGTAGTACAACTTTTAACAATTTTAAAAAGTCAACATTGGTGATGGTAATTTCAATGAAATAAAGTTAGGGAACAAATTTTGAAAGCCTTCATAGAAGCTTCAATCAGGTCAAACTTTTCTTCTAGCAGGTCACTTTCATTCCTCTCTTATCATTTTTTTAAGGCAATAATTTGAAATATTCATTCATTCATGGAAGAAAGAAAAAATCTTTGTCACATTGACACTGACTCATGCTTCAGAGTAAGAAAATGATGAAAATATTGTCCCTGTCTTCAGATCCTTAATGTCAAGAAGTCTGGTTCATTTGAGGCCAAGAAGTGATGTACTCAAATGGGCAACGGTAGGAGTGTCAAAGCACAGCTTTGGACAGATATCTCACTGAGTAGGGGACACAACAAGGAAATGTTTGCCCTGCACTTTTCTATTGTTTTTATTCTCCTACAGTTTATTGACAGAGAAGGTGAACTTGAGTTTTGAATGAGTACTTATTAATTTAATTTTTTCTTACTATGACTTTCATGACCCTACTCGATCAGCCTATGATTTTTATCTGTGCTGTTATTCTCCACTACTAGTAACTAAATAAATTTATTGCTATTGGTTTCTGAATAATTTGGTAGTGAAATTGTCAGAAGGCCAGCATTTACTGCAGCAGTATCCAATAATTTATCTACACGGATGCACTTTCTCAGTAATTACTAAAAATCTTTCAGTGCTCTCTTGTGGGGTAACTGAAAAACGCAACTTTGGATGTTATTTAAGAACCCCCACATTTGAAAGATGGGTAGCCACTGTCTCCTGTTCATTACTAACCAAGTTTCATTCACAGTTTTCCTTTCCTATATCCTCAGGCACAAACTCTTCCAAAGTGCTTTCTCTTTCCACAGTTAATTCTCCTTTGCCATTCCTTTAGAAGTCAATGCTGAAGGTATTCATCTGTCTCTATTTCCTTTATTTCTGTGTCCTATGATATTGCTAGTCATCCTAGATCTTTCTGTGTGCTAAAAGTTCTTTAACAGAAGAAAGGTGTAATGTTTTTAAATTTTGTCAATGACACATCGCTTCATGCTTTAACCGAGAATACAGTGCTCACTGAAGAGCAGATACATTCCCACATAAAATCATTCACAAACAGATGCTAAACATCAAATGGAGTGTATTCTATGAGGTGGTTCATAAATATGACGCCTTTAGGCTATAGCATCTTACAATTTCCCATTAAATTAAAAAAACTCCCTGAAACATTATTAGAGAGAAGTAAAATTAGCTGCAATTATGGTAGCATGCCAATGAGAGTGCAAAGAAGAAGAGAGGAAACCTGTCTGGGAAATAAAGAAAAGCACAGCACCTGCAGAGTCATACCTAGAGCACCACTGACTCGCTCTGAACATATGCTTTTAATTTGCCTTTGACGTACACTTTACTGATTCAAAAGAATGAGCGTTTCTGTCAACAGGTTTTCCAATAGCATATGTACAGGGATAAATGCAACTACATCTTCACTGTGAATATGTAAATCCACAATCTGGCTTATTGTTAAGGCTCCTTTAACAAATGTCCATTTTACACACAAGTAATGATATCATTACAAATGAGTAACTGATTATAATAAATTTTTCTTCTGTGCAAAACCGGTGCCCACATCAAGAGTGTGCTACACCTAGTGCATTCACGCAGTGAGCCTGTCGTCTGGCTTTTCTTCCCAGCAGCACTACATGATTGCTAGGATCTGCACTCAGCAGGTATGTGGTAGGCATTCATTGAGTCACTGAATAAGAACTTTGTGTGACTAATCTTGTACAGAGTCAGCTGACATGCAGTTCAGAGGATCTAATAACACTGGCCATGGCCTCTCGACTACTGACTTGCCTGGGTTTAGAAGCAGATAGGAGTCCAAACCCTGGCCTGTCTGTGAGGAGAGAGAAGACTTACCATCCATGCCTGGAATTCAGAGTGGACACAAAGGCAAGAGCACAGTGAACAGCAGCGTCCACCTCTCTCTCCTGACTGTGGACACAATGGGACCATTGCCTTACCCTCCGACCACCATGCCTTCCCTCTGCGATGGACTATGCCCCCTCTTATGAGCCAAAATAAACCTTTGCTTCCTTAAGTTACTAGTTAGTGGTTTAGAGCAATGAGAAAGGCAACAAGAACAACACTGAATTCACATCCCTTTCAGCTCTTCTCAGAGGAAAGTCAGGTAGCACTTCATTGACCATCTCTGCACCTTCTGTAGCATTCCCTTTAAACACACCGTTTGCAAGTGTGCTCTAAAGAGAGCAGTCAACACGAATTCTGATCATCTCAATGCTACCCTTGTGCATCGTTAACAGGAACAGAGGGACTCATAAAGGTTTGGCCATTGTTTTGATTTGCCACATATAAATTATATTTTGCAGAAAAAGTTGACACCAAATTCAATACACAAATTTCTTCTCATTGTTTTTAAAGTTTGTGTGGAGGTCAAAGTATCTTGATATATAAACACTTTTACTTAAAAACAGCTTTTAGCTAAAATGAACAAATGTTCTTTATAATTGCTTTCTTTTCTAAATTTACACTGAATTTCTTAAACAATAAAGATTCTGTAAAAATGCAGACAAAAGAAACAGTGACCCATAGCAATGACAGCCAAGGGATCAGCATCTCTAATAATGGAAAAATGGAAAATTAAAACCACAGCTGAACACCCATTTAAAAACAATTATTTTTATCAACACTATGATGACATTTGCTTAGTAAAGATCTATCACTTCACAGTAAGTTTTAAATATTCAAAACTTTCTTTGGTGGAAAAATTTGCCTGTCCAAGGCCTGTCGGCTGCAATAAAGCAAATGAAAACCTGGGCATTCTGACCCATCTGTAGAATTACTTCATCTCCATTAGAATAGCAAGTTTTATTAACTTTTCTCAATATGTATCTTTTTGAAGGTCTAACAAAAGGAATATGTTTTCTGTTTCACAGAACCTTGGATGTTCAATAACAATTCATCTATTATATTTCAAACCTTTCAGGTAGAGTAACAGCCAAGAAATGTATTCAGGCAAATTGGAAAGGAATTCTTTTTAAAAAAAACTAATTGAATATCTTACAGGACAAAGAGGACATAATGTGTTTAGTTCTTGACCATGTGTCAGAAAAATGAACTATACAAGGATACTATTGGTGTGAACAGCATGTGATTTTTGAAAGAATTATTCTGCTTCTAATCATGAGGTTAAGGTCCACATTAACAATTGCTAATCTTTGCTTGGTTCTGCTATCTAAGATTCAACCAAGTGAGAGATTTACCCTTATAACTGTACCAGCCACTTGGCTGCTAAAGAGCTGTGCTAAGGGACACATTCTGCTGATAAAGTAAGCAAAATACTTCCATGCAAACACACAAGTTCTCACTACAGCTGGGCCATATCCCCCTTCTTTGGGTATGATGAGAGAAAACAGTGATTGAAATTCATTTGTCTTTCCAAATACCTTATTAACTTCAGGAATTTTGTGTTCTTCACTGACTTTAGAAATTACAGGTGCTCGGAGTGCTGTTGTGACTTGTTACATGAGTTGACACATTTGACTTTATCTTGAACAGACTCAAAACTTCAGTTAGGTTTCAGAATGAACTCAACATTGTAAGGAGACGACTAACACGTCTTTTTCTGAATTGCTCTATCTGTGGTTTAACACATATGCCATGCTGTTGCTTAGCTGAGTCATGTAGTTAGTTGTCTGCCATCCTCAACAAGCCCTCTACTTCATTTGTATCCCAATGTCTATATGAATCTTGCATGTGTGCAGGTGTTGTTGGGGATTGATCCCAGGGCTTATACATGCTAAGCTAGTGTTCTACCAACTGAACCAAGCACACACGTGAGACTCTAACAAGAACTGCTAAACATATGGTGCTATTTACATGATGGTTGACTGTTTTAACATTCAGCTAGTGTCACAAACATAATACCTTTTAATGTATGTTACTACATACAAATTACCTGGCAGTGACTTAGACCATTTGACTACTGAGAGCAGCTGCCTCTCGCCTAGTTGGTTGAGACTGGTCAGCAAAGAGCTGGAAGTGTCGGGTTTTGTGTTGTCATGCCCTGCGTAGATCACGTCAGGCTCAATGCTCAGGAGCAGGTTGATGAGTGGGGGAACCAGCTGGATTTCTTGATTTGGTGAAAAGGTGATTCTCTGGCCTAGGGTCTGGCTCTCATTAGGAAGGCCCGCTGACTGAGGGAGAGCAACGCCATCAAGGGCTCTCATAACTCGGACTTTATTGAACTTCTTAAACTTCCGACCTACAGAGAGGACAAAAGGGAGAGAACTTTGTGTAACCACAGGAATTCATCATCCTAGCAGTGTATGTTTTCTTTGAGCCTTATAGCCACTGTGCACACATTTTACCACCTATCTGAAAGTGAAACAAAGCCGGGCAGGTGTGGTGACACAGACCAGTAATTCCAGTTCTTGAGAGGTGGAAGCTTCAAAGCATCCTTCCTGAACTACACAGTGAGTTCAAAATCAACCTGGATTATATAAGACCTTGTCTGAATAAAAGAAAGAGAGAGAGAGGGAGAGGGCGAGAGGGAGGCAGAGGGAAAGGGGTGAATGGGAGGTGGGGGATCTTAGGCATATGATTTGAGTTAAATTAAATCTGTACTCTCTGGGTTATCTGAGTATGTGTAGTCACATCAGGACCAAGCAGAGGTTATCAAGCTCATGAGAAGATGTATGGGATGGCAAGTAGCCTTTTGAACACCAAAATCAGGATTGTCAATTGTGTAACAGGATTGCCTTCGAAAGATCGTGGCCCAGGCTATGTTCATGCAAACAGGGTTTACCACAATTGTGAGTCTTCTTTTGGATTTTATTCTTTTAAGAATCTGTTATAATTCATGCACATCATGTAAACCCCACATCTTTCATACAATTTTGGTAGATTCATACGTTTCTTGAAATCAACCCATGTACTGCTATAAGATCTAAACAAACAAAATTAATACTATTGTGATAGTTTGAATGCAATTGGCTCCCATAATCCCAAAGGGAGTGGCATTATTAGGAGGTGTGGCCTTGTTGAAGTAGGTGTAGCCTTGTTGGAGGGAATGTTTCACTGTGGGAGCAGGCTTTGAGGTCTGTTTTGCTCAAGCTTTGCTCAGTGGGACAGACAGATAACTTCCTGTTCCTTGCAAGATATAGAATTCTCAATTACCTCTCCAGCACCCTGTCTGCCTGTATGCTGCCATGTCCCACCATGATGACAATGTACTGAACCTCTGAACTTTAAACGAGCCACCCCAATGCAATGCTTTCTTTATAAGAGTTGCTGTGGTCATGGTGTCTCTTCACAGCAATAGAAACCTAACTAAAACAATTATCTTTCCTAAATTAAGGGAAGACATAATTTTCACCCTGTGATCTGTGCTTGCAGAACATATGTATTTCTAGTCAACTCATAGAATTCCTATTTTGGTGAATTATTTTATGTTCAGAGGAAAAATCATGATGGCAAGGAAGCAGAGTTTGTTTTGAGAACATATTGATCTGTTGGCAGCCATACCATCCTGAAGGGACCCATACTCAGCTGATCTCAGAAGCTAAGCAGGGTCAGCCCTGCTTAACACTTGGATGGGAGAACAGATTGATGGGCACCTGGATGCTTACGTAGGCTGCTGCTTTTCAGATGCATGGGGAGTAAATCAGAGAAAGTCTTTGTGACTGAGGAAAGACTGGATTTCAGGCCTGAACTCCTAGGTCAGGCATAGCTTTTCACTGTGAAGGGGATGTGTGTCGTGTGGGTGAGGGAGGCCTGGTTACTGTGGATAATGGTCCAGTTTTGTCCACCTGCGGCCAGTAGGCAACATGTGTTCAGGACAGCTATCACTGAATGTTGTGTGATATTTGCATTGTGTTTTGCTTGAAGTCAGACAGCAGAGATAGCCGCTAGTTAAACATAGAAGTTTGGAGTTACAGATTATATAGAGAGGGACAGGAAGTGGTCAAACAGGGCTGAGACAGGATCTATGCCCTTTTGGTCAGAGGAACAGAAGAATCACTGGTGACTGCTTCCCTGTTTCTCTGATCTTTCAGGTTTTTATCCCAATATCTGACGACTGGATTTTATTGAGAAGATTAATTAGATTTACACATCATCTGGCATCAAATTTTGGAGAACAAATTAACGAAATAGCCACTTTCCCATGGCTTTGCAGCCATCAGCACCCACTGGAGCTGCACCCAGGAACTGCACCCAGTGGAATCACTGCACTGCCAGCTAGCTTTCCCTTTCTTCCCCAAGCCCACTGATTGATTATGGGATTTTCCTGTTGTAGCCTCTCTGCAGCAATCTCCACAGGCACTTGGGCTCCAAATGCTACTGGAGTTAGCCCCTCACCACTGGCCAGCTCTGTTTTCAGGCAGCTCCCACCACATGTGCTTCTTCTGCATGATCCCTTGTGTGTGTTTTCCAGACAGTGGGCTCCCCCTCCCTGTGGGTTGTGGGCTTCCCCTGGACCACCTCCTTGTGCTACACCCACACTAGGTAGCTGCCTTGACACCCACTTGGGCTTCTATTGTTGTTGCAACCACCACACATTCTCAGCTCACAGCTACACACTAGCAGCTGCAGCTGCCCTCAGTAAGGCTGTTCACAACCTGTGTGTTTCTACTCAGATGTGCTACAAAGTGGCAGCCAGCTTTACACTTCACCAGCAGCAGCAGATTTGGTGATACAGTTGGGAATTCTTAAAGGGGGGAATTAGTTAGACAGAGAGAGAGAGAGAGAGAGTTCTTTCCCACTTTAAAAAATGGGAAATACTATTACCATGAAGAGAGTTAGGTCTGTATGATTGCATAATGGATGGTTTAAAAAGGGACAATTAAATAAGTGGATAATTAACTTAGCTGTGCTTCACATAATGTTAATTATAAGTATGATTGGTTTGATAATTCTTGTTTTATCCCTAAAAATGTTGGTTGATATGAGTGCCAAGACATAGGCTTTAGGAAAAGTTACTAGAGCCGGGTGGTGGTGGCACACGTCTTTCATCCCAACACTGAGGAGGCAGAGCTAGGCAGATCTCTGTGAGTTTGACACCAGCCTGGTCTATAGAGCGAGATCCAGGACAGGCACCAAAACCACACAGAGAAACCATGTCTCAAAAAAAAGAAGGAAAAGAAAAGAAAATTAAAGAAAAAGTTACCAGAGAAAACATTGACATCTTCACTGGTGTTACAAGCCTTAGAAAAACATACTAAAATAGGTAATAGAGATATTCAGTCAAAGACAGAGGAATTTAAAGGAGAACCAACCTCACCATTACATTATAAAATTAGGAACACCCCAAGGTTATCAAACAACCAACCTTAATTTATCCAGTCACCTTATGGGAACAAGTGACACGTGACAAGTATCCCCAAGATTATATAAGAGCTGACTGGACTCCTGTGGAAATGCTAGATTTGAGGACATTTAAGGAAGTGATAGTCTCATGTGGTATGCATTCACTTTTTGTCATGTTTGACTAGAAAAACTTGGTTACAGCAGTATCGGAAACTGGTCCTCAATTACAGTGGAGGACCTGGTAGAAAGATGAGGCTACGATCATTGAACAATGAAGTAGGGCTAGAGGTATTAAAATTTCCCAAAACCAACTTCTTGATGAGGGTGTTTATTTGGATGTACAAAGACAGTCTATATATGATGACCACACCCTGGCTTTACCATGCAGCAGCTTTGAATGTTTGGGACAGAACTGAAGAAGCCAGAAAGAAAACTGAGTCATTTACCAAAGTTATACAGGGCCCAAAAGAAACGTTCACTGATTTTTATTTTTTTTTACAAAGATTGATTTTAGTTGTAAGTAGAATGAAACCAAATTCAGAAGCTAGACAAATCATAACTGAATCTTTTGCTTTTGAAAATGCTAATCCAATCCACAATGCAAAAGGGTAATTAGGCCTTTAAAGGCAAGATCAGCACCCGTAGAGGAATGGATCTGAGATACAGTCAATATTGAATCTTGTAACCATGATGATGTGTGGTTAGGAGAGGTGATTTCCAGAGGCATGAAGAAAAATCAAGATGTCAGGTGTTTTAATGGTGGCAAACAAGGTCACCTAAAAGGGATTTTAGACAGGGCATTCCTAGAAACAATGTTTCTTCTAATCCAAACAAAAGGCCTTTGCCTTCTGGAGAATGCAGAAGGTGAGACAAAGGCTGACATTGGACCAATGAATGTAGATCAACAAGGGACAGACAGGGTAACCCTGTGCCATTGGGAAATGCCTTGAGGGGGGCTCAGGCCCCTATGTCAAATTTGGATCAGTCATTCCCTGTCATCGTGGGGGAAATTCCTCCCCAGAACAATAATGCCTATTGAAAAAAAAACATACTGCTCTGGATGATAGAACAACTTTAGAAGATAAAACAAAAATTTCAGACGAAACCATAAAGCATGTATTTTGACAAACTTCTATAAATGATCAAAGACCAAAGCTAAAAATACAAATAAATGGCATTGTTATTGAAGGTCTTATAGACACATGTGTAGATGTAACAATAATTGCTCCAGAATCTTGGCATCCAAATTGGCCTCTTCAGGAGGTAAATGTTCAGCTTTTAGGGATTTGAACTTTATCTCAGGTAAAACAAAACACAAGATGGGTCAAATGTATAGAACCAGAAGGACAGAGGAAAATAAAAGCCATATATGGTTAATATAGCAATGAATTTATGGGGATGTGATTTGTTACAGCAATGGAAAACCCAGATCAATATTCCTCCAATCTCAGAAACAAACCATAAACTAATACATGTTTCTGGGAAAAATATTAAAAGGTATTATTACGAACAGTCACCCACCATTAAGTTTGTATAAAAACAGGGCACAACAGCTGCTGAACTTTCAAAGGTACCAACAGTCCTACCTTTAAAATGGTTTACTGACCAACCTGTCTGGGTGGAACAATGGCTTTTGATATCATAAAAATTACAGGCCTTTGAACAGCTGGGAGAGGTGCTGGGGATGCTGTAAATGTGTTGCTCTGATTGATTGATAAATAAAATGCTGATTGGCCAGTAGCCAGGCAGGAAGTATAGTGTAGGAAGGATAAGGAGAGAGGAGAATTCTGGGAGGTGGAAGGCTGAATCAGGAAATGCTGCCAGCTGCCGCCACCATGGAAAGCAAGATGTAAGGTACTAGTAAGCCACAAACCATGTGGCAACTTACAGATTAATAGAAATGGGTTAATTTAAGACATAAGAACTAGATAGCAAGAAGCCTGAGCCATTAGGTGC